CATCTGCTCAGTGCCCCCTGCCTGTGCACGCCCAGGGCTGTGCTGAGTGGCAGCAGACTCCCTGCAGTGCATCCGGTGGCTCTGGTGCAGGTTGCCTAGGGACTGGTCTTGCATGCTGGGGAAGCTGCAGAGCATCCTAAGCTCCCGCAGAGCTGCATGGGGTTGGCTGTAGCTCCATGTTATGCATCTCACTGTCCTTCCTGCTCCTGGAGGGCAAGTCCATGCCATGGCTCAGTAATGACAATGATGCTCAAAGAGCAGGTAAAGCAGTTAAGCCCTGCAGAATGTAGTGATGAAGAATATATGAAAAAGCAGAGTCTCTGAGTGACAGGCAGGTCCCACGTTGGCCATGGTAACCATTCCTTCCCTTCTCTTCAGTTCTCCTCTCTTGGGCTGTGTTCATGAGTACAGCAGAGAGTATATCACACCTTAGGTGATACAGGGTGGTGCTCTGGGATCTCATATCTCAGGCCGGCAGGTGCAGAGCTGGGGCTTACTTATTTCTGGGTGACTGTTGCTCGAGTGCCTAGAGATTAAGAACATCCCCACTCCTATTCCAGTGCAGCCCTGCACTGCCCTAGTGCTGGACCGGTGATGTATGTTTTCCATGTAACTGACTCCACAGATTACCTCATTACATACAGCCAAGAAGGCAGCCACTTCAGGATCTTGGTAGAGGAAGAATCTGGAGGTCAAGCTCTCATTTGGGGCTGGCCAAAGGTGCCTGTGTGGAGGAGGAATGAGGTTTCCTGGCAGGATTAAACAGGCTGTGATTTGACATCAGGCTTGGGGAGGAATTGGTTTCATTTCAGCCCAAACTCTGTGCCAGAGCAAGCAGCATACATCAAACCACAAACTTGACTTTCTGATGTTAAGCAGGAAGTTCACAGGAGTGCCTTTGCCAAAACCACAGCTGCTGTCAGAGCATTTCAACTCTGAGACAGGTAGTCACTAAAAGACATGAAGCAATTTCAGAGGAAGTGGCTGGGCCAAGAAGGTGGCTGAGTCCTGCCAGGCTCTGAGGAAACCTGGGAGGTCTGCTTCCTCATGCAGCCCTGATTTAGGCATCGTGCTGGTGCCATTCATCATTCTTTCCTATGATGAAAGCTGTGCTGGGCAGGGTGACTGGAAAATTTCAGTGGGTTGTGCTTAATCAAGCTAGCTGTTTGTGTAGTGGTACTTCTAGTAATGGGAGAGAAATCAGACCCATGGGCCTGGTACCATCCCTGGGGGCGATGCCTTGATCGTGGGAGGGTCACGGAGCTTTGCTACTGACCCTAGGAATGAATGGAAATATTGGAAGCTTCATCAAAATAAGAACCATGATGAAAAAAACTATAGATAGTGAAGAAAATCCTTGGCATCTAAGGATCTAAGGTGTGTTTTGGTGTGCTCCCACTCCAGGGAGCAAACACAGAGGTTTCACGTACTTTTTCCATTGATTCACCCTAGTTTTCTGCACCTTCAGCTCTGTTCCTTCCCATTCACAGAGGAGGAGGTCCTTTCTGGATCTATAATGTGTATCTCAGCTCCAGGTAGTAATTCCTGTGCTCCTCAGGAGGATCAGCCCTGAGCCTATGCAACCAGAGCCTGGCAATGCATGTTGGAAGGTACTTTTAGCATTCCAAGGATCTCTTCCAAATCTGATGTGCATGGTATCTGTAACAGCTGTATCTGGTTTTCTGTTTGTTGTTGAATTTCCTTGTTGGCGTGTCCCTGGGGGCAGCAATGCTGAGAGCAGCTCCAGCTCATTCCAGAGTGAAAAATAAAAATCTCCCAGCTGTAAGTGACAAAATGCAATGCAAATCTCCAAGCTGTTAGTGATAAGATGCCAAAGTGCAGCTGCAGGGCAGTATCCAGCAGTAATGGCACAGTGCTGTAGCAAGTGAACAGGAAGCCAGGGCGACCGAACAGCATCCACTCAACTACATAGTAAGGCCCAGGACAAAGAGCTGATGTTGTGTGAAAGGATGAGTTCAATCCACCTCTGAGAGATTCCCTCTTTCTAAGCTCATTGTCAGAGTACCCTGGTGAAAAATATAGCCCCTGCTCTGGGATGGCTCTATCCCTTCCCAAGAGTACTGTGACTCTTCCATCTGAAAATGAGTTTTCTCTGTTATAGTATTGTAGTGGAGACTCGTTAATGTAAAAATGTGGTACCAAATTATATCTAGAGAGAGTGCAATAATAAGGGGCAGGCCCCTTTGACTTAGTCAGTGATGATGCCTCAAGCTATCTTCAGTATCCATAAATAGGCCTCATTTTTTTCCCATTTTTTTCTCCCAAATGTAGGCTCAGCAGAAGACTCAAAATACATTCCTGCAGCCTTTCAGATGGTGTGCAGAGCATCCTTGCTGTGCCAGCAGGGATGGGAGGAACAGTGACCTGGGCCGGGCACTTGCACACGCCCCAGCCCCTGCTTTGCTTCCTCCTGTTGCCCTCCAGCAGCCTCCTGCTCTGTGTTTTCATAAAGCTTCCAGCAACAGGTGACGGCGCTGTTTTCAAATCCCACAAATTCCTTGTCTGATGCCCACCATCTTACCCATGTGCCTGTGCCTCCTGAGAGCACATCAATGCTCTCACATACAGGGTTCGATTTTTTTGGGTGGTCCTGGGTGGAGCCATGGATCCTTGTTGGGTCCCTTCCAACTTGGGATTCTCTATGAACTTGGGGTCTAGCCTTGGGCCCTCTGCCTTCCCTGAGCAAAGCAGCCACGTTGCAGAGCTGACTGTGCTCCAGCACCACTATCAATCATGGTGTCCAGGGCAGAGCCCTTGACACAGCAGTCCAACACAAGGTTTTTGGTGTCTGTCCAGTTGGCCTTCTCCAGCTGCCTTGAAGGAACAAGCCTCCTTCCCTGCAGCTCTCTATGCATCCCCCCATTCTTAAAATCCAGCTATGAAAAGGCTTCGAGTACCCAGAGCAGCAGTGCCAGGGGGAGAACCCCAGCCCTGTGTGACATGTGTCACTACCCAAGCCACATCCCCACAAGGACAGCATAGCATTCTACCACTGGGGAAGGGGCTGCTCCACCTGAAAGTCCCAAGTCTGGCTCAAGCAAAAATCTTCACGAGCTCAGGCAGTCTCAAAGCAAAGGACTCAAAACAGAGCAGACTGCCAGTACTGCTGTCAGGGGAATGGGCAGGATGGGGAGCAGCCCTGGGGCTGAAATTCAGGCTCCTCCCAGCAATTGGCACCCTCCTGGCAATGAGGAACAGCTGTAAGCAAGCATAGCTTTTCTGAGACTGAACCTGCAAAAATGAGGTAATGACACGCAAGGCATGAAAAGGAGAGCAGCAGTACCCCACCTGCAGCTCTTGTCTGCACAACAGCCTTCAGTTTTGATGCCATTTGTAGATAAAGGCATCGCAGGAAGGAAAACCATCTACTTCCTTACTGAAACTACAAAGCAAATCCGACAGGAGCAAAACCTGCTTAGCTGATTACAAAGCATTTAGAAGTTGTAAAACCCTACCTTGGCACAAATGCGCTGTGTTGGGCTCAGAAAGCAGATTTGGGTTCTGGCTTTCTGCCATCATCTCGTAATTGCAAAGAGTGTCAGCCAAACTAAAAATGTCTCTTGGATGGAAAGAGACCCAAAACAAAGTCAAACAAAGCCCTTTGTAAGTATTGCTGTCCGGATCCTGGCAAGATCCTAGTTCCTTGAGTCCTAATGGCATTCTGGGCTGGTGTAAGCTTATTAATGGCTGTAGAGTACTTAAATAAAATAATTTAAAAAGTAAAATAAGAACTAGACTAGAGCACTGAGTTTGATATTGAGGAAACTGGACCAGTATGCATTTTATTACTGATATACTTTCCTCCTTCTCTTCACAGCTTGAACACATATACTGAATGAAGCGGGCTACCAGGTGGTTCCCATAAAAGAGATGAAGCCCAACCTGAGCATAAGGTGAAGTCAATGAGCTGAGCTCCCAAAGCCACTGCAGGCTCTGAAGGATGAGCCTAGCTGGGGGCTGTGGGTGCATTGAGGCAGCCCACAATTGGGAGCACTGCCAATGCCTTCCCAAAAAAGCAAAGGGAGAAAGCAAACTTGGAGCAGTGATCTGAAAAGGCAGCGCTCTTCTGCTTGTGTTTTTATGCCATGCGTGTGTGTTTTATGGGACTGGGCTCTTGCAAGGGGACTCTGGTTGCTTTCGTTGGTTGACCTGGCAAAGAGCAGGAGGATAAAGACTGATGCCTGTCTCTAAAAGCAGGTTGCATCTCATGGAATTCCTGATGTTGGAAGGGATCTCAAAGGTCATTGAGCTCCAGCCTCCCTGCCATGGCTACGGCTGCCACCACCAGCTCAAGCTGCCCAGGGCCCCACACAACCCAGCCTTGAGCACCCCAGGGATGCTCGTGGCCACCTCAGTGGTTCGTGGTGCTTCCATGATGTCGCAGTGAGGCTGCTTCGTTGTCACCAACCTCTCCTGCATTGTGGAAGACAAAGAGGCTCTGAGCTCAGTTCTGCCAGTTGGCCTTGAGGGCCATTAACAACCAGCCTTAGTCAGGGTTATTTATTCATTAATTTGCTGCAAATGCAGCCCTAAATGGTGGAAATCTCTGTACTAATAGTTGCTCTGGAAGAGATTTGCAGCCATGCACGGTCTTATCTCTAATTACGTGTCTGGCTGAGCTGCATCTGGCTCCGGGGATGTCTGGTTGTATTTGGCTCCTGGAGCTTCTCTTGAAACCCACTGGGACCCCGGGCTGAGAGCAATGCCAATTAATACCCACCACAGGGAGAGGCAGCCACGCCGTCTGGCTGCTAGCTGTAGGTGAGGGGGAGTCATCCCGTGGGGAGCAGCAGCCCTGGGCATCCACAGGGATACAGAAATGGGGTCGGTGGGGCTGGGAGGGAGGCAGCTGTGTGAGAACAGTAGGAGAAAATTGAAAGAAATGGGGAAAATACACAAGCAGGCTAGATTTTGAAAGTGCCTCCTTTAAAAAATGTCATACCAGTGTTGTTGCAATGTTTCCAGAGCATCTCTTTTTTTTTTTTTTTCCTGAAAGAGCTATTTGCATTTAAAGAAGCTGACTGCAAGTGTGTGGTGGGGGGGGGGGGGTGGGGGACAAAATACCATATGAAATGAGCAGAGTAACAGTTTTTAAATGGGAACGCAGCCCTCACACCACCACCCCTCCCCCAGGCCACCAGGTCTGTGCAGCCTGGGTTCATTGGGGTGAAGGCAGCTGGCTGAGATCACTAATTTGCTCTTATTTTCTCTTCTAGTGACACGTATTTTGCTTCTGTTTTAAGACCTGGGAAGCCCTGGTTCACCCCATCCTACAGGGGTGCTCCCTGGGGCTAGGGGTGCAAGGAGGGCGGCTAGGGACCAGCTGGGGTCACTGCGCGGCCAGGTGCCACCTGTCATCCTCCATCCCACACAGTCTTCCCAAGCAGGATGTCCCAATCGCGGGGGCATTGCTCCCCTCTGCCGTCTCCATCGCTCTGCAGCTCTGCATCCTGCTCTCCTGTTGCTCAGAGATGTGGAGGCAGTTGCTAAGAGACACCGAAACGTCAGTATCTGGCCCTCAAGGAAAAAAAAAAAAAAAAAAAGGAGAAAGAGAGAGACAAGGGAGGACGAGGAGGAGGAGGGGAGGAAGGAGGTGGGGAAAGACCTGCTCTGATTGCCAGGCTCGGCAGCAGCCTTGGCTGCAGGAGCCACGCACCCAACTTGACGGACCCCCATCTCACCGCCCGAGCCCAGCGGCTGCTGAGCTGAGCCCCTCTTGTCTCCAGGCAGCGTGAGTACCCGGGGATCCCGCAGTCCCCCGGCACTATTGGAGGGATTGGCGGCCGTGGCAGGGAAGGAGGGCAGCAGGGGCGGTGGTTTCCCCTGCACAGTGGGTGAGATGGGGAAAGAATGGAGCTGGGGAGGGCATGGGTGTGCTGGGTGAGGGAGGAAGGAGCTAAGATGGCCAGGCAGCGGGGGCAGAGCAGGCCGGCAGTGGGGCCGCTGGGGCAAGGGATGCCGTGCGCTGGGAGGGGGCTATCCCTGTGGGGGCTGGCAAAGAAGGCATCCCTGGCAGCGGGCAGAGCATTGAAGGTGGGGACCCCCCTGGCTCTGCTAGGACAAGCCGAGTCGGTGTGGCTGGGCCCTCCGTTTGGCTAAAAGCACGGGGGCTGGATGAGGAGGGGCACGGGTTCATGGGGATGGTGTGGATGCCCCATGAGCCACACAGCTCCAGCAGGGCTTGCTGCTAGCTTGGGTTTCTCTCACCCCTCTTTTCTGCAGGCAGCTGCAAGCAGCCCGCACCGGCCCTGTGGGGAGGCTCAGTGGGCCCCGAATGTCTCTGGGATGCCCCAAGTGTCGCTTTGCTAGCTCAGAGCCTGGGTGCGGTCCCAAGTGCTTCCTCCACCACTGCCAGTAGACTTTGCTGGGTGAGCCTTTCCCCGGCTGGGATGGCCACCGCACTGTGACGGCAGAGGATGCTGTCGCGGTGCAGCCGGCAGGCTGTCCCCGCACTGAGGCCGGCTGGCATGGCACACTGCAGGCTCTGAGATGGGCCTGGGGGCAGGCCGCCGGCCCACCATGCTGCTGGGCCCCTGGCTGGTGGCGGTGGTGGCGGTGGTGACGGCGGGCGCCGGTGCAGGCTGCCCGGTGCTGTGTACGTGCCGCGGGCAGGCGGTGGACTGCAGCGGGCAGCGGCTCTTCTCGGTGCCCGCCGAGCTGCCCTTGGACACCGGCAACCTCAGCCTGGCCCACAACCGCATCGCCAGCATCCCGCTGGGCTACCTGGCCTGCTACGCCCAGCTGCGCGTCCTCGACCTGCGCAACAACTCGCTGGCCGCACTGCCCGCCAGGCTGTTCCTGGGCGCCCGCCGCCTCACCCACCTGGACCTCAGCTACAACAACTTCAGCCTGGTGACGGCCGACATGTTCCTGGAGGCCAGCGAGCTGCTGCGCCTCGACCTCAGCCACAACCCCTGGCTGTGCACGGTGCACCCCAGGGCCTTCCGCGGGCTGGCGCAGCTGCGGGAGCTGGACCTCAGCTACGGGGGGCTGTCGGCCCTCAGCCTGGACGCGCTGGAGGGGCTGACGGGGTTGGTGACCCTCCGGATCGGCGGCAACCCCTGGGTGTGCGGCTGCGCGATGGAGCCCTTCCTCAAGTGGCTGAAGAGCCGCATCCAGCTCTGCACGTCAGGTAGGTGGCCCCGGCACCCTCTCCGCGTCCCCACCGGTGGTGTTGCCAGCTGCTAATGTCACTTTCCTGGCAGATTCGCAGCTGGCCAAGTGCCAGGCTCCCCCCGAGGTGAAGGAGGTGCCCCTCTTCTCTCTGACGGAGGAGAGCTTCAAGGCGTGCCACCTCACCCTGACCCTGGATGACTATCTCTTCATCGCCTTCGTGGGCTTCGTGGTCTCCATCGCGTCGGTGGCCACCAACTTCCTGCTGGGCATCACGGCCAACTGCTGTCACCGCTGGAGCAAAGCCAGCGAGGACGAGGAGGTTTAGGTATGGCCGGGGAGGCTGGGACAGGGGCTCATCCCTCTGCCCCCAGCCAACCCAGCCTCCCCTGCTCCCCACCGCAGCCCCACTACATGGCGGGGACACTGTGCCTTGTCCTTGTCCCCTCCCACTGTCCCCTGTGCCTGGTTGTTGTGGGGAGACCGGGGAACAGTTCCTCTTCTTTTGCCCCAAAATGGGGGATTTTCACTCTGGCTGGTGCCCCCCAGGACCACTGTCACTGCCATGAAGCTGAGCTGAGCTTGAAGCCCCAGCTGCTGGGACAGTGGAGGCGGCAGCAGGGGGGTGCAGGGGAGACCCCAGACCAGGAGCTCGGGGAGACAGAGCAGGGTCTGCAGCCGGAGCAAACCCCATGTGAGAAAGAACCCCAAAAGCAGCACGTGCCTTGGGGGATACTGATGCCCACTGCCTGGGGAGAAAACCACAGAAATCGCCGCTTTCAGCCCACAAACAGCACTGGTAGAGCAAGAGCCAGCAGCCTCCTGTTCCCCAAATCCAGCTTGTTCTCTGCAGCTAAGGGCCAAGCCCAAGACATGGCGCTCATTGGGGACAGCCCCAGGTGCTGGTGACACTTGCCACAACTTGGACATGCAGACAGCACCAGAGCTACAAGCGTTGAAGCCCCGCAAGCATCTCCTTTTACCAGCCACTTCCTACTCCTTCCCCTTCTCCTCTCAAGTTTTGTGCAGGTTTTGGGCCATACCTGGCACCCAGCCTGGCCAGACAGCTTGGGGAACCATTGTTGGGAGGCAAAAGGAACTCCAAAGAAATGAAAAACCCACAAAGCTACTGGCCTCTCTGTCCAAGCAGGGTGGCCACTGCTCTCATGTGTGTTTTACGCTGTCTTCATGGCCATCCCTGCAGAGCGTAGGGCTGAAAACTGACTCTTCCACTCCAGCTGTAAAACTCCCGCAGTCACGTAGCACTTTGCTGCCAAGATATGTTTGCTCCCATCCTTGCCCTCTGAGGGACTCTGCTTGGGACAGCCCCCCCACCCCTTACACCCTCCCTGGAGCCATTCCTCCTGCCAGACACATCTCAAGGAGGGGCTTCCCGTGAGCTGTTCAGTTTTCTCACTGTGTTTCCCATGCGTGTAGCTGGAGTGTAGATGTGCCATTTATAAACAAACCGACCAAAACAAAACCAAAACAAAACCACAGGAAAAATGGGGAAAAATAAGGCAACTTCTGGCTTGGTGACCCCATTCCCATGCTGAACCGGGAGCCCTGACTGCAGCGTGGAGAGAAGGCTGGGTGCACATCACAGCAGTCCCTGTGCCATGGATCCATGGCGAGACTGAACCTCTGGCAGTGCTGTAGCTCCAGGCTGCACGCCACAAACCCCATGCCTGTAGGAGAGTAGAACCCTCCCATGTTGTTTCCTGGGATAGGGGCACTTGGAATCCCTTTTTTCCTTCTTTTCTTTTTGCTAAGTCTTGTCTCTCCCTGCCAAAGCAGCCTCTGAAGACCATGGACAAAACGTGCATTTCCTCCAGCAGTTCCAGACCCCACTATTGGGCGATAGAGGAGAAAGTGTAAATGCTAAGCTCCCAATATCCATGAATTCAACCAGACCCATTTTCTGCCTTTCTGAAGCAAAAGGGCCTACCTTCACACTTCGCCTTCCTGCACGGTGGGCAGGGGACCGAGGACGTTGATGATCTGCCACTTCTGTCCAACAGCAGTCGGTGCTGGTGCATGACCCTGGGTGCTGGGTCCCCACACCACTGTCCCTGTGTCATGGCCATGTCCTGTCCTGCAGCCTGGGGATTGCAGGGCGTGGGGGCAGCCGTCGGCCTCCTCCTGTCCTCTTTGTCCTTCATCTTTTTCCCTTCCATTCCCTCTCCCCTTCCCTTCTCTCTTTTCTTCTCCTCTTTCTATCCCTCTCTCTTTCCTCCTTTTCCCTCTCCTCTCCCCTTCCCCACGCTATGCCAAGCACTGCCAGACGGGGAAGGAGAGGGGGGAAATGCTGAGTTTGAGTCCCCCGGACTTTGTACAGAGCACATTTTATAAACGTGTACTTTTGTAACAGTGAGCACTTTTTCAGAGCTGAACCTCAACAATAAAGAGCACCAGTGCAGACTGAGTCAAGGCCAGGGTGGGCACATGGGCGTGCGGCAGCGGGGGCACGCAGGGCCAGCCGGGAAGGAGGTGGAAAACAACCTGCAGAAGGCATCAGCCTTGTTTTCCCCTCCCTGTGCTTCCTGTTATTCCTCCGACAGCACCTCCCAGCGTGCAGGGCCCAGCTGTCAGTGATCAGGTCACCGCAGTGTCACCCAGCTCCCTGGGACAGCTGGGCCCCTCAGACAGGGACCACAGGTCTGTTCCTATGTGCTGGGGGCCCAGAGGTCGGGCAGCAGCTGTGCCACGTCCTGTCGGTACACATCGCTCTGGGGACAACGCTGCTGAATGGTGGCAGCCCCAGCGCTGGCATACCTTCCCACTGCCCGCCCCACGGCTATGCGTCTGGTAGGGGGGACTCTGGACAGGACCACCCTATGTGTTGGGGACTGGCAGCACCCAGCTCAGCCACTGCAGGGTGCTGAGTGCTCCTCTGTGGGCCCTCCTGCCCTGCTGTGCCCAGCCAGCCTGCCACTAATATCACCTGCCAACCAGCCACTGCCCATCCATCCTTCCATCCATGCCTCTAGTCCCCCTGCCCATGTACCCACCTCTCTATCCCCCCTTCCATCCGTCTGTCCCTCCCTCCATCCTCCACTCATCCATCCATCCCTCCAGCCATCTGTTTGTCCATCCTTGCATCATTCCCTCATTCCTCCCATCCTCCTAGCAATGAATCTGTCTTTCCAACTCTCTCATTCCAACCTATTCCCACTCCTTCAAACTCATACCCCCATTACTTCTAAAATATGCCCTTTCAAAGCCTGTAGGTCTTCCCAAGCCCTTTTTTCTTCTAACACAGACCCCAAAGGGCTGCCCAATGCAGGCACAAATTTTGTGTAGTGGCTTGCAACGTTATGTGACAGGGACAAAACAGGGCAAACAATGATCAAAATTTCCCCCTTGCTGTCTCCTCTAGGGCAGAGCAGAGGAAAGCAGACATTTCTCACCTGATAATTATTTTCTTGGCTATTTCTAAGTTCCGAGGTCTGTTGAAACCTCCTCTGCTCGGTGAGTAAGCGCACTTCTGACAAATCCACATTTCCAGAACAAATCAGGGCTGCCCCCACCCCACTGCGACGCTGGGCCCCTCACCTGGGGCTGCAGGCAAAGCAGAATCCCCTCTGTTCCACCGTTTGCTTTGGGGAGGAAAGCGTGAAAGCGTCAACAAGGAGGTGACTTCAAAGGCAAACCAGGACACCTGGGGACATCAGCCAGCTTAGCGCGCTGTGAGATTATTTTTGCACCCCTGGCGGGACGTGGGGCTGAGCCTCCCAGTTGGAATGAGCTGAGAGACTCCTGGGGCTGCTGTCCCCATCCCCTCCCATCCCTACTGCTTAATCCATCAGCCCTATCTCACCGCTGCAGCCTGTGCACACATTTGGCTCAACCCCATGTGGAATAACCTTTTTGCCAAAGCTTCATCCATACCGTGCATGACTTGGGGTCAACCAGCCCCCCATGCCAGCACCTCCGCTGCAGGAGTGGGCTGCAGCGAGCCACAGCATCACATTTTGGGGTGTGCGTCTGACCAAAACCCACTCCACTCCCTGGCACTTCCAAAGAATGTTCCTGGCTGCACAGGGATCCAGCAGGAGCTCCCATCCCCCTCACTGTGTGTCCCTCCATCCCCCTCTATCTTCCCTCCTCATCTTTCCTACACTGCTTTTCCCCCAGCACTGCTGCAGGAAGGCAACACCTTCCTTATCTCCTTCCGACGGTTGGTCCGAGCCCGCTGCCCCTTCCCCCTCTCCGGCCTTGTTTTTCTGAAGTGTCGCTGCATTTCCCCCCAGAGACTCCTCAACTGAACATTTCCCTCCTCCAAGGGAAAGGGAAATCTCCAAAAGCCGGATAGAAAGTCCACAGTTCCCGTCTCCGCTGGCAGGACGCCCTGCATCGATTTCCGCACCCGGACACCCTGCCCGGGAGGAAGCTGCCCCTGCTGGGCTCCGAAACAGAGCCCCAGTGCCCCCCTTCCTTGCCTGTTTATTTAGGGCTGGTGGCAGGAGCTAGGGATGGATGGATGGATGGACGGATGGATGGATGGATGGATGGGGGGTTGAGGATTTGGATGGATGGATGGATGGATGGAGGGATGGATGGACGGAGGGAGGGAAGGAGGGAGGGATAGGAGTGTGAATGAGCAGGAACCGGGGATCTCTTTTTCTTGCTTTTTCCAAAAAAGTGAGGCTGAAAGAAATCTTGAATGAAAACACACTTCTCCCCCAAATTTTCCTTTGGGCTGTGGCCTCAGATGCTGCATTTCCACCACCCCAATTCCCCTGGCTTTAAGCCCAAGAGAGAAACCAAGGGGAAACCCCAATCAGCACCAGCCAGGGTTCAAAGAGCTGCCATAGACTGCCCTCTTGGCTTGCACCCACTTTGCACCCCCCTTTATCCAAACCACAGCTCCAAGGCCATCTCCTCTATTAACTTTGCTAAGACAAAGGGCCTTCCCCAAGGGGTGATATGCTTGGCTGGGCTGGAGCCCAAAATGATGCCGTGGCAATAGGAAGGTCAACACAAACCCCACAGCCCCACCGCCAAACAACGGGAAGCTCTACAAGGAACTCAGTAATGATCCTGCATCCTTTCCAAGTGGGAACAAAAGCTGAGGAGACAGGATAGTTAATCGTGAGTAAATGAAGGATGCAAATAGCAAATAGGGTGAAGATTTATTTAAAGCGAAGGCTCAGGAAGCGTCTGGGGCTGGAGATGGAAACGAGAGGACCATGTTTTGGTGGCTCATCAAAATCCCAGGCTATCGTGGGCCATTGTCCTGCCTGGCGCCAGGGGAGAGTGAGGAAGGACAGGGCTGCGGATAGGGAAGGTGCAGCCCCATGGCAGCCCCATCCCATGCTGAGCTGGAGGCAGTGGTGGCCGGGCTGGGGCAATGTCTCCTGGCTCTGTGAGCATTGCAGCCCTGGCATGAGTCACCCAGGGTGGATTTGGCCTCAGATAAAGGTAAAAACCTAAAAAAGGGATTTGGTAGGAAAGGACCTGATGCAATCAGGCTCTCAATCAGCTCCCACCCTGTGAGCAGGGTGATCTGAGGAGGTGGGGACTTCATCTGGTGTTCCCTGGGTTCTGAGGTGCACAGAAATGCCTCTGTGTGCACCCCCCCCCCAACCCTTCCGTGGACCAGAATAGCCCCCACCCCTCTCCATCAACCCTTCCTCCTTTCCCCCCCCTTCCCTCCCCCCCACCCAGGAATCACACACCCTACTCCTTTTTGTTTTTTGTAACCAAAATTCATTTATTTGTCACAAATCCCACAGCTTGGCCGTGCCCCTGCCCAAACCCCCCAGGGGACGAGGGGAGCCCACCCAGCCCGTGCCTCAATTTCCTCCCACACATCCCGCAAGCAGAGACAGGGCTCCCCAAAGCAAGCCAGGCTCTGGGGCACCAAGAGGAAGGGAAGGGGGGGGGCCCAAAGTATGCAGGGGCCGCCCCCAAGGAGACCAGCTCGGGGGGCTGCCAGGGAGGGGGGGGTTCAGGCACGGAAGAGCGTCTCCTGGGTGGCAGGGTCCAGCTTGCCTCCCATAGCCAGGGCCCCCTTGCCTCCAGGAGGGTGGCTGTGCCCCGAGGAGAAGCTGCCCGAGCGCTCGGCCCCGGGCCCGGGGGGATGGCAGCAGAGCAGCGCGGCACAGGCACGGCGGAAATGGGGGTCGAAGAAGGCGTAGAGGAAAGGGTTGAGGCAACTGTTGATGTAGGCGATGCCGGTGCAGTAGGGATGGAAATTGTTGAGGAAGGCGTGCAGGCCACAGGACCAGGGCAGCACCTCCACGTCCATCAGGACGTAGAGGGTCTTGACCAGGTGGAAGGGCAGCCAGCAGCCGCCGAATGCAGCCACCAGCACGGCGATGATGGTCAGCAGCCGCTTGCGCTTGCGGGGCCCCTCTGCCCGCTCGCGGCGAAAGTGGGTGGCCACGGTGCGGGCGATGAAGAAGTAGCAGGTCAGCATGACAGCGAAGGGGGCCACGAAGCCCAGCAGCGTGAAGGAGAGCCCCAGCCCCACCTCCCAGGCAGCCTCGGTCCCCAGCGCTGCCAGGCCCCCGTAGTCCATGTAGCAGGTGACCTTGGTGTCCCCCCCCAGCGCGGCCGCCTGCCGCAGCACCAGGGCCGGCAGGGCCAGCAGGGCTGCCAGCACCCACAGGGCCACGGTGGCCAGCAGCCCGCTCACCCTTGAGCGCAGCTTGGCCGTGGCCAGCGGCCGCACGATGGCCAGGTAGCGGTCGAAGCTGAGACCCGTCAGGCAGAAGACGCTGGCGTACATGTTGACGAAGACCAGGTAGCTGCTGACCTTGCAGGCGGCCGTGCCGAAGGGCCAGTGGTAGCCCAGCCAGGCGTAGGCGGCCCACAGCGGCAGCGTGACCATGAAGGTGAGGTCGGCGGCGGCCAGGTTGGCGATGAAGGTGTCAGCTGAGCGCCGCCGCTCCCGCCCGCCCTTGAAGATGGTCCAGAGCACCAGGCCGTTGCCCGCCGTGCCCAGCAGGAAGACCAGCAGGTAGATGGTAGGCAGCAGGGCCAGCGACAAGCCCCACTCCTCATATTCGCAATCGGTCTCGTTGTCCCCTTCGGTGTAGATGTATCCCGTCTCCTCCATGCCGCCAGCCGGGCTGGGTGCAGCTCAGCTCATCCCCAGGCTCACCGCCGACCTCCTCCGGCCCTCTGAGCCCAGCCCAGCGAATCCCACCGCGTTACCTCCCCTTCCTCCCCGCCCTCCGCCCCCCCTCCTCCTCAGTAGGATGGACAGGATGGGGGAGCCCCGTGGGAAATTTCACAGCTCCCCCCCCCGCCTCCCATCTGGCTCTCACCCAGGTGTCAACACATCAGCCCAACAGATAACCCCGCTCCCCCCCGCGCAGGGGCTCGGTGCTGCAGCCCCACAGCCAGGCGTAGGTCTGCTGCCCTGCAGGGACCTGGAAATTGGATTTCACATTTGGCATTTTGCACTGGGGCTGCTGCACCTGGGATGGCTGCATTTTGCATTTGTGACTTTGCACTTGGGACCTGGCACTCGTTGCTTCGCACTCGGCATCTTGCATTTTGCATTTGAGGTTTGGCGTTTTGCAGTCATGCCTGGCACAGAGGGGGCCCAAATTGCCAGGGCCACACGCTGAGCACAGCGTGTTTGGGAGCCTGTTGTGCGCTGACACCTTCCCCTGAGCGAACAAAGCTGGAAAGTCACCTCCCAAGAAAGAACCACGGGGAGGGAGCAAGAAGAAAGCACTGCCAGGCTGCAGGACAGCACTGTCCCACTGAGGCTTCACTCTCACGATCGCAGCTTTTGGTTGGGAAGCTGCTGAAGGGATGCCAAGGTCTGTGGCTGATAACCCTCCAGCCTCTGCTGGGCTGAGAGAAGCAAAAGTTTGGAGCTCAGAGCCTGAAAAACAGAGCCACGATGTGCCTTTTGCCCTTAGAACTGATGAATTAACACAGGGATCTGTGCAGCCAAGAGTAGAGGCAAATCCGTTGGACTGCTGAAACACAGGGCAGACCCGAGTGCTCTCTGAAGTTAGGGAGGAAAGGACCAAAATCTGACTCAGCCCCACAAGAACAAATGGGGCATAATCAGGTTGGAGAGGAAGATAATGAATAATGAAATATTCCAATTACCTGGGACATAGTCAGCTTCGGAAGCCAAAGTTAACCCTGTGAGGTAGGCAGGTTGCAGCACTCTAAAGCCTGCGGTGCTCGGAGGAATTGGAGACAAAGATGTTAAAACTCAGTGCAGAAGTGTGGTGGCTGCTGACTCAGATTAAAGTAATATGGGTTTTTTTGAAGAAGAAGAGACAGAACTGCTCAAAACCCAAAGGCAGATAAAGCTGTTAGTTAAGACAGACAATAAATTGAATAAAACGGGGAAATAAAAAAAAATGTTAATTAGACCCTTGGTATCGCCTGAAATTGCTACAAAGGGAGATGTTTCAGCGTGGGGAATGAGGATCACTATTAATAACGATCCCCGCTATATTTGGCTCCTGTGGGTAGCGGGGGACAGGTAACCCTTTCCAGCCTGCTGACAGCAACGCATGCCCCAAAAGCAGCTGGGGACGAGGGTGGGGGTGGGCAATGCCCCCACTGTGCTCTGTGAGACAGCAGGAATGCAGCACACGGAGGCTCAGGGGGTTGCAGCAGCCACTGGATGCAGTCAGAGATAAGAGACTGAGATTCCTCTGTAGCTTCAGCGGGGGGGCAAAGCATCCGCCAGCCCCACCACCCTGATAAGGCTCATCAGGAGATCTCAGATCAGCTAACGGCTCGGCGCCTTCCCAAGAGCACTGCGGGTACCCAGAGCCGTCCCTCTCACTGTGGTTGGGACACTGTCCCCGTCCAATGTGGGCCTTGCTTGTTCCAAAACCCTGTGAATGCATGGCCGAAAGGACGCACTCTCACGGTGCCCAAAATCCCTGCGCCACAAGGGCAGAGCTTAAACACCTCAACGTGGGATTTGGTGACTTCCTCTCTAGTCAGCTGGAGTTACTCATATCCTACCAGGGAAGAAACAACTCCTTGGTTCCATCTTTCCATCTGTCTCCCCCTCTTTCCGCTTGGTTCGGCTCAGAATAAACAGCTTGGAGTTCCCATCACAGGGCCGGGAAAGGGCTTGGGGCACAGCCAGGTATTGAAGAGATCTTGGGGAAGGACCGCAGGGGCAGCCAGCATTTGGTGGGTGATGCTGCCCAGATTGTGTCAGGAAGAAAGCTCAGCCCTATGGCAGAACGTGGAATCAGCCAGCTCAGCTCCCAGGTTGGGTGGAGTCTGGCACAGGCTCGCCTGGGGTTGCTCAGCTTGCCAGGAAGGTTTGGGGCCAGGAGCTGTCCCCACTCCTCCTCCGAGTGGCCACAACACCCAGCAGCAGCTCCCACAGCAGGGAGGCAGACATGGAAGAGGCAGAAGGGCCTTGGGGCACAGTTTGGAGAAAGGGCGAGCACAGGAGCCAGGGAGGAGTGCGTGCACATCACCAGCAGGGTGGGTGCTGCAACTGCTTTGCATGAGCACATCTACCTTGGCCCTGTGCACAGTCCCCGTGTGCAGGAATGCTTTTGCACTCCCACTGCATTTCTGTTATCCAGGCAAGCAGCAGGGACATGGGGACAGTGAACAAAGCGAGGGTGGCACCATGCATCCCACAAGCACAATTGCAACCTACCTATATTCCAGCTGCGGACAGAGAGCAGAGAGCTCCTCCTGGTGGCAGTCCTTACACCAGGTTCCCCCAATGTTCCATGGGTACACCTCCTTTTGGGGGGGAGGGGAGGGGGGCTTAGAACCAAGGATCTTACAGAAGAACCAAGACCCCACCAAACCAACCAACAAAGTTTTATTGTCCTGTCAAGTGGCACCAAAATAATGACCTGCTGCTCTTTGTCTGGAGGGTGATAGGAGAGCAGGGGGAGGTCAGGGAAGGGAGCGGCCTTTGTGACCACCTCCAGCCCCCAGGGGACATGAGGAAGAGGGAGGACGACGAGGAAGAGGAACTCTGGGGAAATGGGAGTGGGGAGGGACAAGAGTGGGGTGGGAACCCTGCGAGCATCATACAAAGTGCATAGATGTGTGTGTGTGTCCTGCTAGAGGGAAGAGGGAGCCTGATCCTGGGGATGCCAGCCATCAGCCTCCTAGACATGTGGACAGGAGAGCGAGCCTGAAAGAGACATGGGGAAGGAGAAGGTATGGTGAGGGCCAGGGAGGAAGGCGTCAGCTCTAGGGGTGATCCAGAGCTGGAGGAACATCCCCTTGAGCCCTCATCCCAGCTGCAGCATAACTGCTGGCACTCACCCCATGAGATCAGCTCACTATTTCTTCTTTTTCAGCTTCAGCGCTTGCAGCCAGTGGGGTGGGGAGGCGTCTGACCTGCACAGATCCAAACAGGCGCTGACACCACAGTGCCAAAGCCCCCAGAAATACACCCACTGCCCCAAGGGCTTCTCCCAATGCTCTGGGGGCTCAGATCCAGATCAAGCCAAGATGATCCTCCTGGAGAGGGCTGCATTCCCCAGAGGGACCATGCAGCCCAAGAAAGGCAAGGAGAGTGCGAAGGGAACTGAGCTGCAGCTGAGTTAGCTGTGGCTTTAAGGGCTTCGGCCCAAGCACTGTTTAGGGTGGAGCAGCCCGGCTCTCCCAGGCAACAGGGCTTGGGAATGCTGGTCCCAGTAAGCCTCACTTCCAGCTCCCAGCTCCAGTCTCAAGGTCCAGCCCAGCCTCCGGCTAACTGCCAGCACCAGAAATACCAGCCTGCAGCACATGGTTCCTCGGAGCCAGCAGCTGCAGAACTTGAGCACAGCCCCCAGTACTTCCAACCATCCCACCAACATTGCATCGCTGTTCACAGTGCCTCTGAGACTTCAATTCTGCCCACTCCTTCACAACCCACAAGCACCCCAGTGTCCCCAGCATGTCCGTAGTCCTACACCAACACCCAACCTGGCATATCCACCCAGCATCATCACAACTGTTCCTTGAGCCCAGCACTCACCCTGAAGACTTCTCAGGCTTAGGGGGCAGCGCCAGGGGTTTCCCACTCAGGCCAGGGATCTTGCAGGACTTGGAGCGCTGCACATGGGGATCCTTTGTGGGGGTTGCCTTGCTGTCCACTGGCGATGCCCCTTCCTCAGCAGAGCGGTTTCGGCCCCTCAGCTTGGCCTGGGAGGTGAAGTCAGATGGGCACACAGTGCTCTCACCCCCAACCATCCTCAAATCCTTCCACTGCACCCTCTCCCTCCCTCTCCATGCTGCCTGCCTTGGACTGTCCTTCAACCTGCCTGTTCCTCCCCACCCTTTAGAAATCACGTCCCTTCCATCTGCTTGCCTGGGGTTCCAGTAGGCCCTACCTTGAGGGCAGACGTGGTAAGGCCAGGGAAGAGTGGCACCTTGACACCCTTCCCCGACGGGGACGCTCGCACCCGCCGGCTCTTGGGTTCTTCTGCTGCCTCCTCATCGGAGGATGCTGCTGCACGGGCTGGACGAGGCTCTGTGGGGGACAGCATCACTATGAGACATCTCTAAGAGAACCCCACCCCACCCCACTATCCTGTTGTCACTGTCCTGCAGGCTCTCACCTGTGGAATCCTGGAAGATCCAGCTGTCCCCCTCTGAAGTGGCCCCGGGGCGGAGAACAGGTGCCCGGTGCCTTCGTTTGCGGCCCAGGTTGGCCTTGCTGCGGTACATGGTACTGTCCAGAACCTCTGTGTCCTGCAAAGCCCAGGGGACAGCTCAGTGCCCAGCAAAGGGGAGTTTCAGGGTCCCCAGTCCATCCACCCACTCATCCATTCCACTGTTTTCTATGGATCTCTCATGGTGGCTACCTTCCTGTAGAACAGGGTGGCCTTGCATCTGCAGCCTCTGCATTCCCCTGACCATTGGGCTCCCTCAGTACAGCAGGAGGAAGTCAGAAGCTCCATCCTCCCCACTCACCTCGAGAAAGGTGAAATCCTGACCAGAGAGGTCCAGAAGTCCCTCGGGCTGCGAGACACTCGCAGAGAGCCTCTTTTCCTCCCAGCTCACCGGTCTCTTCCCATCTGGGTGGTCCGAAGGGGTCTCTTCGGTCTCTGTTTCTGGAGTCTCACCAGCAGCCTCTGGTGGCAGAGGGGCAGCAGCCAGCTCAGGCAGGTCCTGCTGCTCCATGGGGTCTGTTCTCAGCAGTGGGTCAGCTGATTCGCCCCAGGGGGACTGAGCAGCTGCAGGCTCAGCCACAGCATCATCACTCAGTGGTGGGCTGGAGTCTGAGAGATGGATGTTTTCAGGGCTTCTGGTGGGGAAGACAAGAGGACAAAGTTTGTCCAGCCCCAAATCTCTCCTAATTTCCCTCTGACAGCCCTCAGGGGAAACTAAGGCACAGGGAAGGCCAAACACTGTTCCTGTGAATGTGGGTGAGTCAGAGACAGAACTCAGGTGTCTGGGACTCTCCCTCTCCACTGCGAAAGGCCAAGTGAGATCCACACCAAGGGGGTGGCAATTCTGGGAAATTCCCCTTAAGACTGGCAGGGAATCACCCACAACATGTTAACCAGGCTGGGGCCTTCTTCAGGCCAGCAGGAGTTTTGCCTTTTTCCTCCTGGCATCCTTACATTATGGCAGCTTGTGGGAATTTATCGTTTTGGAAATCCCCAGCTCAAGTATGGCTGAAATTAGAGCGTGGGGTTCCCCAGATCTCAGTAAGATAAAGGCATGGGGCTCATTCTGCCAATTTCTCAGGAGGCCAAGGGAACACCAGCACCTCCCAGACTCTATCCCCACCAGCCATACCCTCCTTACCCATCTGCTGAACCGCCATCACCTCCCAGGCTCGGCTCCCCAGCACTGAAGTCCTGGCTCCTGGCAGCACAGCGGGCCCCAAAGGCACTGGCCCACTCTTGGTGCCTGGCCTCAGCCTCACGCAGCTTCTCGCTCCAGCCAGCTTCCTCCAGGTCCTGGCTCCAGCCTGGTTCCTCCACCTTGGCTTGCTGGGGCTGGGCAGAACTGCTCACAGGTGCCAGGCCCTCATCCCAGGCCATTTGGCCTGGCTCACCCTCATCAACTTTATCAGAAAAACCTGAGGTGCTGAAGGAGAGATCGCTGTGCCAGTCTGCCAGGGGCTGCCGGGGCTCCTGCAGGACCTCAGACCTCATTTTGTTTGCCCAGGACATCGGGCTGTCTGCTGACACTGCAGTGCTGGAGAGATCGGCCCCTCGCTCTGTCCCAATGATACCAAACTGATTTTGGTGTTCAGCTCCTCCAAGGCGCAGCTCTTCAGCCCAGTCCCTGGTGCCGCTCTCCTGCTGGTCAGTGCTCCCCCAGCTGGACTCCTGGCCTGGGCAACTGGGGGCACACAAGCCAGGCAAGTCTTCTTTTCTGACGCCAAAAGCATTAGCCAGTTCGGTTTGGCCAATGCTGCATTCCCCAGCCCAGCTCAGCCTGCTAGAACTAAATTCTCCCTTTCTGGTGTTCATAGAGTCGTAATCGCTGGCCCAGACTGACCTGCTGGGGCCAAACTCCCTGTCCTGGCTCTCCATGTTCTTGGTGATGTATTCGTCATCCCAGGCCGGTTTTTTGGATTTGAGCTCCCTGTCTTTGGTCTCCACATCCCTGGCGCTGTTCTCACTGGCTTCAGCTGGTCTGTTGGGGCTGAACTCTCTGTCCTGGCTCTCCATGTCCCTGCTGGTGTACTCACTGTGCCAGGTGGGTCTGCTGCTGGTGAACTCTCTGTCCTGGCTCTCCACATCACTGGTGCTGTGCTCTTCAGCACAGGCTGGCCTGCTGGGGCTAAACTCCCTGTCCTGGATCTCCATGTCCCTGCTGCTGTATTCGCTGGCCTCAGCCAATCTGCTGGGGCTGAATTCTCTGTCTTGGCTCTCCATGTCTTGGGTGCTGTATTCACCAGACCAGGCTGGTCTGCTGGGGCTGAACTCCCTGTCCTGGCTCTCCATGTCTCTGGTACTGTATTTGCCATCCCAAGCCGACCTGCTGGAGCAAAACTCTTTGTCCGGGGTCTCAGTTTCCCCTGTGCTGGATCTGCCAGCCCAGCCTAGAGTAAAATCCTTGTCCTTGGTCTCAGCATCCCTGCTACTGTATTTACTGGTCCAGTCCGAGGTGACCTCCCTATCCTTGATGCCTGCATCACCAGTGCCATATTCACTAGACCACACAGGTGCAGCATCCCCACTGTGAGTCTCCAGGTCCCCAGAGCCGTACTTGCCAGCCCAGCCGGGCTGCCTGGAGCTCAGCTCCTTGTCCTGCTGCTGGCCATGTCCCACGCTGTAGGGACTGCTCCATTCAGCCTTCCCGGAGCTGACCTCCTCTCTGTTGCCTGCACTGTCCAAGCCATACCCAGTGCCCCATGTGGGTTTGCTGAAGTCTTGATCCTGCAGGCAGCTTTCCCCCGGACCATGAGATTTGGGCCAGTCACTGCTGCCAAGCCTCGTATCCCCCATCAGCTCTGTCCCTTTGTAGTTGCTGCTCCAGTCCCTTTCAGCAGCACCAAAGGCTCTATCCTGCTGGTTCATATCACTGATACTGCAGCTGTTGTTCCTGCTTGAGTTGGTCCTATACTTTTGATCCTGCTCCATCTCACCAGGCCAGTCCCCCTGTCTGGCCACAGCCTTATGGCTCCAGTCAAAAGCACCGGCCTGCTGAGATCTCCCAATGCCAAATTCACTGCACAGGTCCTTCCGTGACCAGCCAAGCAAGCCCTGGAGAAAGAGAGTCAAAGAGGAGAAAGGGTTAGAGAAACACCGCAGAGGATAGTCTGAAAAGGATTGGGGAATATCCAAGGATAATCCTCTCCAAAGGGAAGTCAGGTCCCACTGCTCACCCCCCAGCCTCGTGAGCTGCCTGTACTCACAGCCACTGTGCCTGGCCAGGGTCCTTCCGACCCCGCAGCACTTTGAGCCCTCTCCAGCTCATCCCGCAGCTCCAGGTTGGCCAGCAGCCTCCGGAGGATGGCCGTGGTCCCCGACTCACCAGCCATGGTTCTCCAGTGCGCACACAGCTCCCCGCCCCACCCCAGTTCTCCCCGTAGGCACCGCACGCTCCTGCTCAGCCCCCACCCAACTCGTCAGACAGCTCTGCTGCACCGAAAGGCGCGCAACCGCACCGCTGCACGCAAGGTGCCGTTAACCCTTGGTGCCACGGAGCCTCACGCTCCCTCACCTCCTGCTCCTCGGCCTTCAGAGGGTCACGTCCTGATGTGCGGGCCCTAGGTGATGCCAGCAGCTCGGTCAGCCAACGTGGGTCGGTGTGGGCATCAGGGCCCTTTGAGGAGCCTTCATCCTGGCCCGGCCCACTGAGGCCCTGCAGGCTTGCAGGAGAGTCGCCCGCTGGCTCCCAGGAGGCGTCAGCTTCGGTGGGGGCTGGATCTGATGGGGCAGCCTTGACAGGGGGCTCAGGCTCAGCTGGGTCCAAGCTAGGCTCCACTATGTGGAGCTCGGTGCTGTTCAGCTCTGCCTCTTCTCCCTCCTCCTCTTCCGAGCTCTCAGCCTCTTGTTGAGCCACAGGGCCCCCCGGGCATGGAGCCCCCTCTGCTCCCCAGCTGACGGTCATTGCAGGGCCAGGCCCATCTGTGTTCCCGCTGTCCTCATGGGATCCAGTGGCTGCACCCTCCCTGTCTGACTCATCCTCTTCAGACAGCCCCGAGTCAGCTGCCTCCTGGATGGGGGACCTGGGTGGGGATGGCAGCCCCCTCACCCCCCGTGTGGGGAACGTCCACTCAAAGGACTGGGAAAGGCTCCAACTGGACTCGCCGCTCAGCAAGTGCTCTGCTGGCAGGTCTCCAGGCTGGGGCAGGGCACCCAGTGAACCCCCCAGCAACCCCATGTCCTGCCCTTCACTGGGAGGGGGCCGCAGCACCCCCTCTGATGAGCGTCGCAGCCCTGAGTCTCTGCTTGAGGGAGAAAGGCTGAAATCAGGACCTTCAGGAGTCCGAGAGGACACAGGGGAGTCATCGGGACCCCCAGGGGAGCCTGGAGGGCGAGAAGCTCTAGCAGGGAGCTCAGGGGGTGGGCTCGGGGGAGGTGAGGGCTCAGGCTCGGTGGCAGACTCGGGAGAGCCAGGGGGGCAGGTGGCTCTAGGGGGTAGCTGGGGTGTGCCCAATGTGGAGGGGCTGGCAGGAGTGGGGGATCCCTCGCTGGGGGTGTGTGGGGAGCCTGGGGAGCGGGAGGCACCAAGCCAAGGCTCAACCACAGATGAGGGAGCACCTGGAGCCTGGATGGAGGTGGCCAAGAGCTCCTCAGTCGGAGGCTGAGCTGGAGATTCAGGGGATTCAGGGGCCATGGTCGGGGATCCAGGGGCCAGCAGCTCTGGGGGGGCATCAGGGGAACCAGGGGCTGAGGCAGAAGGCTCAGCAGGCTGGAAAGGAGCTCCTGGAGGTGGGCAAGCAGGAGATCTTGGGGAGCCAGGAGGTCCAAGCTGGAGAGAGGAGAGCTGGAAAAAGAACAGGGAGGAGAGTCACGTCACTCAAGGGGAACCTCCCAGGCATCACCCAGCCACAGTTCTCAGCCCCTCTCTGCCAGCACAGCTCCAACGTACGGTGACAATCATAGTCCTTAGCCCCATCTCCCCTAAGCCCTGTGACAAGAGGGCACATCCTGCCAGCACCAGAGCTGCTTCCTGTGTGACGCAGCCTTGGCAGCTCCCAGAAGTTCCCATTCCAGATGCATGCCCTTCGGGGCAGGGCCAAGCAGTGCCCAGAGCCCTGCTCCTCTGCATCAGCAGCCCTGTTGGTGCCCGCCAACCATCAACGTGCAGAGACAGATATGGAGAGGAAGAACTGAATCTAGAAGAAATAAAAATACCACCACCCTAATAATCTTCTCTGCATGGGCCTGGGCACCCTCAAGACATACCAGCATCACCCTGACAAGGGTGGGCCAAACCCTGACTAGAGCTGTTAAGGGTTAATTCTCCACAGCAGTCCTGCCACCTTTAGTGTCTCTGTCATCACTCCAGAGCATGGGGAGGGGGCATGGCAGGGAAGTGGAATGGGCCCGCCTACCACATACCTGCCCGTCACCAAATCTCAGCTGGTGACTCACGGCTTCTCCCCGTCCCCACCTCGGCACCAGAACTGAAACTCAGCTTCTTGTTCCAAGAGCCCAGCCCAGCACCTGGGCACCCAATGAGGGAGATGGGGCTGCAGTGGAGTCACCCGCCTTCCCCAGAGCAGTTGGCACCCGAAGGAGAAAGGAGAGACACGCACCCCGCAGAGAGGGAGCCCCGGAGGAGACAGGAGAGCCCCGAAGGAGAGAGCCCAGGAGTGGAGCGGCCGCGACGCAGGAGGGTGCGGCGAGAACTCACGTCAGGGGGAGATGGTGGCCTCCGGAGTCCACAGGGGTCCCCGGCACAGCTCGGGCCGGCTGGGGAGGAGCTGCTGCCAGAGAAAAACAGGCAGGGGGTAAACATGGTGTGCGCCCCGTTCTTCCTCCCACAAGCATGCACATCCCAACCCCAGACCATCCGGCTCTGGCCGCAGAAGGATTTGGACGAGGACCACAATCAGCCCTTAACTCTCTGTAAGGGGCCCTCGAAACAGGCCCTGAATTATCAGGTAGGTTAGGATTGCAAAGGCAAATCAGCTACAACCCCTTTTCTGGAAAGTTTTTCATCCTTTGGAGTGCAAGTTTCTCACACTCTGGTTTAAAATAGCCCCTGCCCCGCTCCCAGAGGTGCCCAGCTTTAGGGAGCACAGCCAAGTGCTGGCTTTCAACCAGCCCATCCTGCAGCCGGGAGTCCCACAGATCTGAGGCCTCTCTGCTCTGGAGCAGACTAGTAAAAATAAAATAGACAGAGTGGGGAAAAGGGGGAACATTTCCCAGGGGCAGTAACCCCCTGTTATTCCGTGCTTGGGCAGTGGAGTGCTGTCTGGCAAGGTTCCAGCCCCAGACGGCTGCAAGCATGGAGGCAGTTCCTCAGCTGGGCCAGCCCATTCTTGTGGTTTTAATAAACCACCAGAGCTGTCGCGGGTGACCAAGCCTTCCCACGAAGGCAGCTCAAGGCACTGTTGGTTAGGAGGAACAGCAGCCTTGTGCTGGTGACCAGACCTCAGGTCCCCTCCAGCTCCATTAATTTCCATCCCTAGAACTGCCCAATAATGCCTTCCCCATGAGTCCCCATCCTTGGGATCGATCCTCTGCTCCTCACCTCGTCTCTACCATCGGGTATCTGTCACCCCCTGTCCCCAGCTCTCCCTCAGCCTGCTGGAGCAGTTGGCGGGCTTCACCAGGGGAGTCTCCATCTGCCTCCCCACTAGGGCGTCTCCGGAAGGCAGTGAAGGTCTTGGAGCCAAAGCGAGAGGAAGAATCGGGGCAAAAGGGAGAGAGGCGGGCCCGGTCAGGGCTTCCCGGACCCTCCTTGCTGTCCATTTTGGCCAGAATCTCCTCCACGGTGGTGCCTGGAAATCGCTCCATCTTGGTTGCCACAGGCACTGGCGTCACCTTAAAGGGAGCCGGACCTTTGCGGGACGGTGTCGATGGGGCCAGGGGCACCTCATCACTGGCAGCTGAGCACGAGTCTTCAGGACTCGAAACTGGTGGGCATGGGAGGCCCTTCCCGTTAGGGGTCTCAGGTGACTTGATGGTGAAAGAAGGGCGTCTGAGGGCCACCCCAGAGCCGCCCCCACTGTATGGCTGGGGTCCTGCCAGGCGGTTTATCTTCTCTGCTGAGGGCAGCTCGGGACGAGAGTGTCGCGGTGCTGGTGGAGGGTGAGGCAGGCAGGGTTTGGCAGGCACGGCCGGCTTGGGCAGCACACGGGGCTTGGGCCGGACAGGAGGCTTGGGGCGAGGACTGCCTGTGGGAGAGAGATGAGGAGAAACATGGAGAGTTGGAGAAACGCAACAGCCCCTGGAGATGTTTCACTTTGGGGTAAAAACACACGTGAACAGGTCTGGGGAGTTCTCACCTTTCTCAGGGCTTCCAGCCACCAGTCCGGCCCCCCCAGAGGCACAGGGCAACGGAGGGTGCAGGGACTGGGGCTGGGAGGCCATGGTGAAGCTGGAGCTAATGCTCAGCAGACTCAGCGTGCACTCAGCCCCTGCGGAAGAGAGAGGGGAGAACTGTCACTGAAAAACATTAGTCCACCCTGTCCTCTGGGACCCGCCGCCCCATTCACCCTCACGCCCCCAGTCTCTGCCGTAAATGCAGCATGCTGCATCGTGGTGCTGGCTTCCCACTCACTCATACCAGCATTACACACCGTGCCAACCCACTATCTCACCGCCAAGCCTCCGTTTGGCCGCACCACCCTTTGTACACTGCCCCAGCCCGCCGGCAGCACCCGGCCACAGCACACACCGTGCAGGTCCCTTGCACACCTCAGTAGACACGTGTATCCCAGCCCCATTTACCCAGGCTGGCTTCCGCATGCAGCGAGCCTCCCAAAAGGCCGTGCCAGACCCTCACCGACCCCGCGTCCAACACCTGAGCCGGCCCCCACCACCAGCTGCCCGTTGCCTCACGGAAGTCCTCAACACACCACGTCAGCCCTCACCGTCCCAGTCTGCCAGCAGCAGCCCGCTCCCACGCCCCAATCCCCAGCCCCGTCGGGCCCTACAGGGTCATCTCCCCCCTCACCTGCCCCGCAGCCGCCTCATGGCCGGGACGGGGGGCTGGAGGGGCGCGGGCCGCGATCCCCAGGCCCGGTTTGGCGTGGCCGCACGGCTCCCGTGACTCACTGGCGCTGCGGGGACAGGAAAAACTCGCTCGTGCCTCCTCCTCCTCCTCCTCGCGGCCCTGCCCTGCCTTCCCCTCGCCTCCTCCCCGCTCCCTCCCTTCCCACTCGCGGCGCGGGGTCCCCCTTTCGTTTCCCCCCCACCCCCCCCATTCGGCCCCCTCTCCCTCTGGACTCCCCGCCCCGGCCAAACAGCACCGGAGGGGGCACATCTGGAAGCCATCCCCCCCCACCCCCGCCCCTCCTCCCCCCGCCGAGGCTGTTTCCCAACCCCTTGGCAGCCCCGGGATGCTGACGAGGCCCCGCTCGGTGACGAGGCGAAGGGAAGCGGGGGGGGGTTGGGGGGGGGGGAGTGGAACGGGGCTGGAAGGGGGAAGGGAGAGAGGGGTGCCCCCTCCCCCCTTCCATCCTCCGGGGCCTGCGCGCGTTGCCACGGTAACGCAGCCCCCGCTCGAGTGGCCGGGCGGGCCTAGGCGCGCTGCCATGGCAACGGAGCCCCCCGCTCGATTTACGAGGAGGGGCCGCAGGGAGGCCGAGGCGGCCGTTGTGCACTCCGCAGCCCAAGCTTCGGCCCCGGCGAGCAGGACGGCCTCGGCCGCCTCAAGGACCCCGAGCCCCACCGCTACCCGCGTGCTCGGAAAACCCCACCCACGCGCCCGGCGCCCCTCCCCCCCGGCTCCGGTACCGTACCCCGCGGAGCGCTCCCGCCGTGACCCCGCGCCCTACCCGCGCTCACCCGCCGCCGCTGCCGCTGCATATTCATGAGCGCTGGCCTCGCCCCCCTCCCCATCGACCGCGCCCCCCACGGGCCGCGCCCACCCCACGTGGCCGAGCCACCGCCTCCGCCGACCAGCGAGAGCGGCGAACTAGAGCGGCGCCGCGTGGCACCTCCACCTACCATCGAGCTGCGGGCCGCTCGGGCCCCACGTGCGCCACTGTGAGGTTGCTAGAGGGGACCCCCGGCCTGTGGCGCCCCCGGGATGCGGCGGCCCCACAAACCCGCGCTGACCTACGTGTGGCCCTACGCTCTGGAGCGAGCAGCCAGGCCTCGCCCCTCGCCCCTCGCCCCTCTCCCCTTCCCCTGCGGCGATTGACTCGCAGCCAGGCCGCCGTGCCGGGGTCAAGCGGGAACGCTGATGGAATGGGGATTGGGGCCGCCTGCCCCCCCCCCCCCACCTGACACCCCCAGCCACGGTGCAACACTCCAGGGAGCAGAGAACATCCGCACGGCATCAGGATCGACCGCCGGGCCTCCATTAGGAGGCTGATGGAGCTGTAACAGGATTAGGGAGCCCGCAGGAGGGGCTCAGGCTGCTAATGGATGGGCTGCGAGTGAGCTCAGCCCCTGGCTGTGGTTCAAGGAGGCCGAGGCGATGCCGGGAGAAAGGCAATGCTGGGAGGAAGGCATCCCAGCACCCCGTGTGCCTCGGGGGAAGGGGAGCCCAGTCCACCCCCTGCCTCCGCACCCACACTCACTCCCGCCGCGGGTGTTTTTTATTCAATCCGAGTTGCCATGTGAACGGACCCAAAATACAAAAAGAAAAAAAGAGACCAAAACAAACCCGAGTATTTAAAAAAAATAAATTGATGAGAAACAGGGCAGAGGTGGGACTGAGGCTCCTCCTGGGCCTCCCCTCCACAGGGCCTCGCTCTGTAGCCAGGCATTGAGGGGAAGGGCTCAGGCAGTGAGTCTGGGCACCCTCCTGCCCCACTCCAGTGCCTCCCCTCACCTGGCAGCAGGGGTAGGAGGAAGGGCAGCCAAGCAGGTTCGGAGCCAGCCAGAGCCCAAGAGCCAGGCCCCCTCCTGCGGGCCGGCCCACCCAGTCCTCACGCTGATCTGGGAACCAGCCTGGAGCCAGCGGGGACAGCACTAATCCGAGCCAGACGCAGAATCCTCTGAGCTTTGGGCCGGGCTGGCGCCTCTCTCATCGTCTGAGTCCTGTGGGAAGAAACAGGAAGTCAGGACAGTAGAAGCAGAGCAGCTCATCTCCACCTACTCCTGTACCTATAGCAAAGACTAAACTCAGTCCTCCACTACAAGACTGGATGTGCATACTATCAAGAGGAGCACATGCCTGTAGGGATGAGGTAAATGAGTGAAGCCCACCACCAAACAGCCCTACTACCTCCTTCTTGCTCTCTGCAGAGGAGCTCTCATCGCTGGAGACAAATTCCTTGCTCTTGAAGCTCTCGCTCATATTCTTGGCAGAGGACTTGGTGGAGGACGAAGACTTGGAGGCAGCACCCTTCTTCTCCATTTTCCCTTTCATCTGTTTCTCCTGCTTCTTCTTCTTCTTTTTAGACCTCTCCCTATGCATGTGTTGGGAGGGTGGAAGAGACAGAAGCATTACCTTGCTGACAGTGCACTGGTCCCATCTCACAACCCCCCAGCCCTGGAGAGGCCCAGCCACCACAACAGCTAAGGACAGACAGATTCCAGTGAAGCCATGCCACGTCCCCTTGTCCGCTTAGCACACTCACATCTTGGAGCTCTCTGACTTGTTGCCCACGCTGTACTCTTTCATGGCCTTCTCATAATCCCTCTTGGCATCTTCTGCCTTGCGATCCCATTCCTGCAGCAAAAGCAGGTTAGTGGTGCTTTGTTCCCGCACCATCCGCCAGCAAGAGCCTCTGCACCACCTGAGTCCAACACTATCTCCACCCATGTCCCTGACCACCTGGAGACCACGCTCACACAACAGCTCACCAGCTCAGAGGTGACAGCTCCCCACTGCCAACCTCCTTTCCTGATCTGTTAATGGAGCAGCAAGATCCAAGCAAGAGCATGCCAGGCCTCCTGACATCCACCTTCCCTTACTAAATCTGGCTTAGCAACCCACCTCTTTCTTCTCCTTAGACATGGCTTTCCAGAGCTCCCCAGCCTTCTTGGACAGGTCTGTGATGCTGATACCAGGATGGTCTGACTTGATCTTCTCTCGGTTGGCATTCAGCCAAAGCATGTAAGCCGACATGGGTCTCTTGGGAGCATTGGGGTCTTTGCCTTTCTTGCTCTAGAAAGCAGGGAACGGAAAGAACCAAGACTTGAAATACCCCACACACTGAAGACTTAGGGTTACCCCAAGATGATGCCTCCTGCATCCCATCAGTAATTATTCAGCTACTTAATCAGGGAGATGGGTTGTCAGCTCACACACACAAAAAAGTGAAAGCACCCATAGAGTAGGCGGAGAGGACGTGGAGGACCTGTGGGGGGCAAGTCCTCCAACAATCAGAAGGTACTGCCAGGCTCAGACACCACTATATCCTTTGGAAGAGTTTCAATCTAGACTCATTTGCAGGATGAAGAAAAGCCTGCAGGAAGCAGAAGAGCCAGGCTTGGACAACCCAAACTGGGCAAAGCACTGTGAAGTGGTAGGATCGGATCAGACCACAGCAGAAGGCTAATGGGAAGCAGCTCAGCTGATGTGCTGCGACCTGGATCTCCTGTGGTGTTGCTCCAAACAAGGGAAAAGCAATCCATATTCCAAGGGCAGTGAGCCCTGATCTCCACAACTCTACCAGCAGCAACTTCTCACCTCCACCTGCTTCTTGCGGGGCTTGCGGTCTTTGACTATCTTGGCCTTCTTGGCTGGCTTCTTCTCACCTCGGTCACTGTCACCGTCCCCACTGGAGGAGCTGGCCGAGGCATTGCTGTCAAACCTGTGTGAAGTGACCTGGTTTCAGGGAAAGCTCAAGATCTCTACTCCAGCAAGATGAAGCAGGAGGTGAGGGAGTTGTGGCAGTGACAAGCACATAGCAGGACTTGCCCCTGAACTCTCCCATCCTCCAGCAACCTGCAGTTCGGAGACTTCCTGAGCTGAATCCGCTCTGTTCGCGCTTAACAGCCCTCAGGGGACTCTCCTTCCACGAACATGGCTGATCGTTTTGAGTTCCCGTAAACTTTAGGCATTTGCAACGCCTCACTGCTGAACTGCACCAAGATCCACCCCTCCTCTTGTGCTGAACCTGACTCCCATCAGCACACATGATGCCCCTGAGCACTTGTTCAGACTGCAGTTCTCATCAAGAGAACTCGAGAGACAGACCAGAAGTGCACCCGCTTACAAGGCCATTCACAACGATACTGTCTGCATCAGATGTACTCCCCAGCATTCTCACAGCCTCATCCCACCCCACGCAGTGCCCACATATGGCATCTTCCAAAAGCTGCCCATAGTTAAGAGTCCGGTCCCAGCCCCTACTCACTCTTCAGCCACATCATCATCCTCTTCCCCGGGGTTGAATGACTCATCTGCAAGGACAGAGTGTGAGGTGAAGATGGACAACCAAGGAACGCAGCAGGATTCAACCCAAGGAAGTAGCCTGAGCATACCAGGCAGCCCCTCAGGCAGTGGGGGCTCAGATGCAGCCCCAGCACGAACCTGTCTCCTCTCCAGACCCATCGCTGCTATCATTGGCGTTCTCCTCCCGGATCTTGCCCTCCTCCTTCATCCTCTCCAGGTAGGCGTCGTGCTGGTCCTCATCAGAGTCAGCATATTCATCGTAGCTCTGCTTCATACCCTGCAGGAGGGACAGAGTAAGAGCTGCTCTCCATGCTCCCCACATCTGCATACAGTCCATTCTCTAGAAACTACATGCATGCATGGCCAGCCTGGGAAACACACAGTGTCCCATCTGTCTCCCTGTCTCCTCATCAGGGATGCAGAGAGAGGGGCAGGAAAGGTTCCCCAAAGATGTTACTTGAGTTAGGTGGGGGCCCCTCTTGCAAATCATGCTGCAATTACTGGGTTTAGTCAGAGACCAACACAGCCATGCAGAGGAAACCTGCACCAGGAGGAGGAAGAAGAGAAAGAGGAAGGGGTATCGCACGGACCTTTTTCCTCTACAAGGGTAAGGAAAGAAAAGAAAGGTGAAAAAAAAATAAAAGGAAAAAAAGCAGCAAAATTTTGGAGAGAAGAAAAAAGGTCCCAGTCATCTCCCCACCCCAGCCTGCAGGCCAGTAATTCCAGCAGGGCGCAGAGAACCAGCCCTGTGCAGCAGATACCTCCTTGAGGCCTCGGTTCTTGATGTTCAGCTTCTTGGCATTGACAAAATCAAAGAGCTTCCCGTACTCCTCCCTGCAGGAGAGATGGGGTGGTCAGGGACAGGTGGGATCCAGCTCGCTGGCACCCACTGTGCAGTCTCAACACAGCGAGCAGAACGATCACCTTGTTACATCAGTAAAGATCCACCGTGTGTGACCAACACAGAGGACACAGGGGCAATGGAGCTGCATCGCAGGACAGAGAACAGCCCAATGTTACAGTAAGAGCTCACTCTGTGCCCACCTCTCTATACTGCTGAAGGTGTACTGTGTGCCCTGCTTGGTCTCGATCTCAAAGTCGAAGGAGCGGGTGGTGGTGGTCCCACGGGCAAAGTTGACGAAGGAGATCTCATCAAAGCGGATGTGCACTGGCGGCTTGTGAACATAGATGAAACCACGCTCCAGTGGGTAGAGAAGTCCTGAGCTGGCCTTGTAGGAGCAGGTGATGCACTGGGCTCCAGAGTGTCTGTGAGGGCAAACACTGCTATGTTACACCAGTGGGGAGCAAACACCCCTCCCTCTGCACATCCCCAGTGAGACAGCAGCTTCGATAAGTCCACCAACTGCTCCTGCTTGCATGGGGTAAAATTCTTGCAAAACCCCCTCACCCTGACTATAGAAAAAGAGATGTTGGTCCTGCTATCTGAGTCAAGAGGGGATCTCAAGCAGCTGGCCTGAGACCACAAAAACAAGAAGAATCTCCTGTCCTAGGGACAACAAGGCTCACTTTACCTCTCCCCATACCTCCACGCACACCCTTAGTGTAGGAAGGTCCCACACTTCCTCACCCAGCCAGAAGCAACAACAATGCCTCACCCCTGGAAGTTGCCAGGCACAGTGATCTTGCGGTTCACCAGTGCCTTCATAACTCGGCTGACCATCTCATAGAGGGAGCCTGACATGTTCTTAGTGAGCCGCCCCTCGAAGCGTTTCTCCACCTCTTCCCTGTGTGGCAGAAATAGAGGATAACGACAAGAACAAGGACCAAAGAGATTCAATACATGCACTAGTTCTCCCCGCAACACCCAGGTCCAGGGAAGGAGTCAAGGAAGTTGGCTGGCGAGAAGAACTCACTCATTCATGTTGAGGGTCAGTGAGATGTCTTCATCCTTGGAGAAAAGCAGGATAAGGAAGTGGTAGCGGGTCTGGCCCTGCTTTATCGGTGGATCCAGGCTAATCTGAAAACAGAAGAGGAGGTGAGGACCCAAAATCCTTCGAAACAATTTCCTGAGAAAGGGAGGACAACTCCACCCCTCCTCACCACAAAGAACATCTGCCGTTGGTCCTTGTGTGGGAGCAGGAAGAGGCGCAGCACGGTAGTATAGGGGATTTTGTAGTCAAAGGTTTTGCCATGGAGGTGCAGGAAGGTGGGGTAGATGCGGATGTCGTATCGCCCACGAGGCGTCAAACACTGCAGCTCCCGGAAGATGCAGATGGCATCACCAGTTGCCTGGATCACATCCGCCTTGGAGAGGACATTCTGAGCAAAGGCCTACAAGGAGAGGGAGTTGTGGTCAGGCACTCGGTGAGGGCACCCAACTAGTGTGCCTCACTGTGCCTCACTCACCTCCACAGGGTCAACACCATCCTCCTGGGTAGGGGGCACGTAGAAGCGAACCTCCATGAGTGAGACCTCAGCGTCGTCATTCTGGTGGAACTCCAGCGTCACTTCGTTCTTGCCCGTCGTGCACTGGGAGACATTGCTGAGGGGGATCTCAAACACCGGCTGCTCCCCGATGTCAAAGGAGAGAAGCTGCCCTACAGCAGGTGGAAGGGATAAGAACCTAAGGTCCACCCTGCTGCGCAGACCCACGGTGAGTTCCATCCTAGATCCATGCTCCAGCAGCATCATCGCTCTTCTCTCAAAACCCAGAAATGCCTCCCTTCTCCCTCCCTTCCCATGTTCTCCACACAAATCTCTAGGCTTTCTCCTCTCAGCTATAGTTCCAGAGAATTACATTGATCAAAAACAAAAAGGCTGTTTATTCTGCTCTTCCTCCTCTCTCAGACCAGGGAGGAACATCCACCAGCTCTTCTGGCTCCCTGAGGAATCTGGAAGGCTCTATTAGATGCTCACACCTCCCATGCAGACTTCTCTTTTATGTTGAACATTTTCTGCCTACCCGCTGAACATGCTGTGCTGCCCGCAAGTATCTCCTGCTTTCCTAGGATGACCAACATCCATGTTGTATCAGCACTAAAAACGGGGCAGTTTCCCAGAGGAGCATCTAAAGCTGTCAACAGCTGGGTGCTGGTGGGATAACGACACTGACCCAGCCATCAGATTCCCACCCAGCCCCACCACCTTGGCCTACACGCAGCACAGATTCCCTTGCCCAAGCAGCAGCACCACTGGCCTGTTCCTATCTTACCACAACTCACCTCCGAACCTCACTGTGCCCCAGTTCCAACCCTTCACACACAGGTCCTTCTCGGCCAGCTCCAGACGATAGTGTGCCTTGAAGAAATCTGAGAGCTTATCAAACTCCTGCGACGAGGTGGGAAGGAACAGAGAAACAGAGAATGCTCATCAGAAACTGCCATGTACACATCAGCACGGCCCAGAGCCCGTAACTGGGACAGTGCCCGCAGTACATGATGAGAAAAACAGACAACAGCTGCTGTTAAAGGCAAGGAGATCAGCTTTGTGAGATCTGGCAGATCCTGCAGGCAGCGTGGCCTGATACAGGACAAGCAGAGACTGTAGCACAAGCTAGCTGAAAAAAGGATGGTCAGCATGGCTCAGGCAACAGTCAGAGATGGCACGGACTCACCGATTCCCGGAAACCATCGTATTTGTAGACATGGCCGTTCTTGGTGAGAAGCTTGAGGCCGTGACCGAGTGCCACACGCCGCCACACACCCTCTGCCAACTCTGAGGCCTGGATGTTGTCCACCTTCCCCGTCTTGCTGTTCTTGAAGATGACGCCCTGGCGGCTCAGCCGCAGCCGGCCATCATTCTGGTGGGAGGTAGGTGTGAGGTACAGGCAGCTCACCCCACGCACATGGAGGGGAGCAGCCCAAGGTGGGGAACTTCCACACAGCACAGACAGCTGCTAAGCTCTCCCAGGGGACACGAAGTGAACTCCCCAACCACCCAACAGTTTCTGTTCTCCATGCACTCCTTATCACCCTCCGCTGGGATTCGGGCAGCCAGGTTGCCAGCAGCCTCGGTACCAGAGCTCCATCAGGCATTTAGGAACAATCTCCCAAATGCCACAGGGTGACCCAGAAATCCTCAACATCACTGCAGCATGACACTGCCCACCCCCAAGCACCGGAACAGGCTGATTTACAGCACCCAGCTGCCCAGCAGTAGCTACTGCATAAAAGAGTGAACGCTTGCAGCTGGCATTCCTTCCCCTGGACACGTTCCCAACCACAACCTCGCTAGCTCCGCAACAGGCTGCTACTAAAAGCCCCTGTTGATGCTCCAAAATGCTTCAGCTCTGGAAACAAGGCGCCTCAGCTCCCATTTCCAGTTGAGCTCAGCAAAACATGCTCTGCCAGGACGAGGCAGTGGAAGAGCTGCAGGGATGGGGGGGCATACTGCAGCACCCCTGGGCGTACAGCTGAGACCAGGCCTCAGAGCCGCACAGCACCATGTGCCTCCAGCCCATGAGATGGGGGTGAGCACTTCTGGCATCGGGCAGCACCCCAGATAGCTGCCCCCAGCACTGAGCTGCCCCTGGTGCTGCTCACCATGGATCCCTTCACCTCCTGGTAGATCTCGTTGAACTCCAGTGTGTCAGCCATGACGAAGGGGGCCGGGCTCGCAGGCAGGCAGGAGGAGGCCGGAGTTCAGCTCCCCACCGAGGCCGGCATGCCCTGCTGCCACCGAGCAGCGAGGTGCTGGGGGGTAGGGAGGAGGGGGAACGAGAGTGAGCACGGGGAGGTGAACCCCCCCTGAGGAACGTGATCCCACAAGAACACGTCCCCCCATCAAGCCTCTCCCGGGGCTCCCCGGGGTCGCCGCTTCCCGGGCTGCCACGTCCCGGTGGGAAGGGGTACAACGAGGCCCTGGCAGCCCCCCACAGTCTCCACCACCCCTCTCCCTAGGCCCCACGCCCCCATCCGTCACCCCCACGCTCCCACCAGCTACCCCCAACCCCCACATCACCCCCCCCGAAATCACCCCCCCAAAACCCCCCTTTCTCTGTCCCCTCTCCAGCCCCCCAAATTCGCTCCCGCCCCCCCCCCCCCCCCGCACCGCCACCGCTTTTCCCGCCTGCGCAACACGAACCTCGCGCGAAGCCGCCTCCCCCCCCCCAACCGCCTCTCGCGCCGCCGCCGGAACCCGCCCCCACTTCCGCCATAGAGAAGCGCCGCCGCCCGGCCTCTCTGGGAGCCATCGCGGGGGGAGGGAGGACCCGGCCGCGTCGGCACGAGCCTCGCGATGGAGCGCCGTGGAGGACTGAGGCTAAAGGCGAGCGGCGCTTTCCTCGGCATAGAGGCAGCGGAGTGGAAAGCGGGCAGGCTAGAGCGGCCGCTCCCCGAAGCGGCGGTCTCTCTCACCTGGCACCACAGAGAGGCGGGAGGCCTCCAGCCGGGAAGTGGGGGGGCTGCTCCCCATTGGCCGACGCTGGGTGATCCCCATGACGTCACCGCGGCGGGGGGTTAGGGCGGCTCTGCCCAGCACATGGCGCCCCGACGTGGGGTACGCCCCAAAAAAAGCACTCCGAAGTGGGGCGCATCCCAAAATGGGACACCCCTCGTCAAGGGGAACCCTCAAAAAGAGCACACCGGTATGGGGCACCTCCAAACACTGTGAGGTGGCAAACACGGGGTCCGCAAGCACAGAGGACGCCCAGAATGGGAGCACCCCGAGTGTGAGGCACCCCTAAAATCGAGAGTCACGCATACTGCGCCCCCAGCGCGGCCCGCTCCCAAAATGGAAGCACCCCAAGTGCCGAGGGCCCAAAGCATTCCCCAGGGCGCCCCAGAGAGGGGCTACCCCATGCAGGATCGCCGCCCGAGGGCCCTCCTCGAGGTCGCCTCTCGTACCCCTCCCCCCATCCACGTCTTCCCTCCCCTCCCTCCTCCTTCCAGCCATGCCCCCTCCCTCCATCTCCCCCTGCACCCCCTCCCCCTCCCTCCGTCCTGTGCCCACCCCTCTGCCTCTGCACCACCCCGCCCGCATCCCTGCCCACATCCCCGCATCCCTGCCTCTATCTGCCCGCATCCCTGCCCGCTGCCTGTATCCCTGACCTGCTCCCTGCCTCTATCCCTTCCCACTGCCTCTATCCTTGCCCGTATCCTTGCAGAGCCCCTGCTCGTGCCCCCGTCCGGCTGCCCATGCCCCCCCGGCGCCCCCAGCCCCGCTGCCTGGCCGATTTCTTCTCCTACGAGACCACCAAGTCGGTGGTGGTGAAGAGCTGGGTGGTGGGCGTCGTCAACCGGGTCGTGCAGCTCCTCATCCTCTCCTACTTCATCGGGTGAGAGACCCCCCCAACGGGACCCCACTCTTCTGCTGGTGTTCCCCACCCCTCGGCAGAACATGCTCCCAGTCTACATAGCATCCCTGATGCTATGGTGACAAGCTGGGGACCGGGAGGGTGACACCAAGAGGAGACACTGGGTGGGTGCATGATGTGGGGTCAGGAGGGTGTCATGGGAATGGCAGCTGCCCGCTGGAGTGGGGGTGGGAACCGGGCTGTGAGAAGTGATGACAGCTACAGGCAGAGGGGGACAGGTGACAGCAAGTGGCTGGCAGCATGTCTGTGATGGGGACATCAGGCTGACACAAGGGGCAGGCGATGGGAGGGTGGCTGTTGGCATGAATGACGGAGAGGAGAGGTGGGGATGGGTGCTGAGGAGCATGCTAAACCCCAGGGGGTGACACAGACGGGTGACAAGTGGCTGTCAGAGGACTGGTGGCAGGAGGACTGGCTGCAGGTGGCAGGGAGCCAGCCGGCTGTCCCCACAGCTGACCCCTCCACCCACCAGCTGGGTGTTCCTGCATGAGAAGGCCTACCAGGTGCGGGACACTGTCATCGAGTCCTCGGTGGTGACCAAAGTGAAGGGCATCGGGAAGTATGGCAACCGCGTCCTGGACACAGCTGACTACGTCACCCCCCCACAGGCAGGAGACAGTGGGAAACCCCCCCGAGCCCTCCTAGCCTCATCTCAAATAAACCCAATAATCCCCAAGTGGCACGGGGTTGGGAGTGGGGGTGTGGTGGTGACATAGTGTCCCCGTCACCGCAGGGCACTTCGGTGTTCGTGGTGGTCACCAAGCAGATCCTGACGGAGAATCAGGAGCAGGGCATCTGCCCGGAGGTATGGGGACACAGGGGGTGGCATGGGGGGCACCGGTGTCCTCTGACCCACTGACCCCCCCTCTCCGCAGAGTGAAGCCGCATACCGGTGTGCATCCAACCGTGACTGTCAGGGGAAGGGCCGCACCACAGGCAGTGGTGAGTTTTGGAGGGGGATGGAGATCCCAAAAACCATGGAGTTTGAGCCCACCCGCATTATTGCCACAGGGGTGCTGACGGGACGCTGCGTCCCCTACAATGTGACCCTGCGAACCTGTGAGATCCGGGGCTGGTGCCCACCCGAGGTGGACACCGTCGATGTGTGAGTGTGCAGCAGCAGGAGGGGGGAAAAACACTGTGCCCCCTGCCCCGTTCAGGACCACCACCTCTTTCTCCACAGCCCCGTGATGCTGGAGGCTGAAAATTTCACCCTCTTCATCAAGAACAGCATCCGCTTCCCGCTGTTTGGCTTCGAGAAGTGAGTGGCACTGCGGGGACACAGGGTGGGTTCTCACTGCTGGAGGCTCACAGCCATGTGCCCCCCCAGGGCCAACCTGCCCCCCCAGGTCAGTGCAGGAGAGCTGCAGCGCTGCCGCTTCCATCCTGAGCAGCAGCCGCTGTGCCCCATCCTGCGGCTGGGCGACGTGGCACGCTTCGCCGGGCAGGACTTCGCCTCGCTGGCTGCCACCGTGAGCTGGGGACACAGAGGATGTGGGATGCGGGGCATGAGAACAAGGGGATGCGGGACACGGGGACAGGGGATGTGAGGACAACAGGGTAAGGGATGTAGTGACTTGAGTTTTAGGGCACCTGGGATGTGGTGTTCATGAATGTGGGAATGGGGGACATGGGGTGTGGGAACATAGGGGCTTGCGATGTGGGGATGTGGCAATGTGAGCTGTGGGGATGCAGGGATGTAGGACAAGGGAAAATAGTACTGCAAGGACACGGGGATGTGGGACATGGATGGAGGGACACGGGGCCACGTGGCACAGGATGCATTGCCCTCACGGCCGGCTGGGCAGGGCGGGGTGCTGGGCATCAAGATCGGCTGGGTGTGCGACCTGGACCGCGCCTGGGAGCTGTGCCTGCCCCGCTACTCCTTCACTCGCTTGGACAGTGTCACCCAGCACAGCCCCGGCTCTCCTGGCTACAACTTCAGGTAGGGCCACGTGTGGCTGCCTGCCGTGGGGACAGCTGCAGAGCATGGGGTGCCAGGCGGCCGTGTCCCACGCAGGCACGCACGGTACTATCGTGGGCACAACGGCACCGAGCTGCGCACCCTCACCAAGGCCTTCGGCATCCGCTTCGACGTGTTGGTGTATGGCAACGTGCGTATGGACACAGCATCCCAGGGAGCTATGGGTGCCATAGGTGGAGGCCGTGCCGACTCAGCCCTCTGCCTTCCCGCAGGCTGGGAAATTTGGCATTGTGCCCACCCTCATCAACACGGTAGCTGCCTTCACCTCCATCGGCGTGGTGAGTTGAGGCAGTCCTCAGCCCTGGGGCAAGCAGGTAACCCACAGCCATAGGGCTGAGGGCCATGGTGATGCCCAAAAGCGGTGGGAAGGAGGATGGAGGGAAATCCCACTGCCACAAAGCAGGGTGATGGAAAAGGTGATGGCAGCCTAATTCCTGGAGGTCTGTGGGGTGTCGGGGGCGCCCCGCAGCCCTTTCCCCATTACTGTTGCCCCCTAGGGCACGGTGCTGTGCGATATCATCCTGCTCAACTTCCTGAAGGGCGCCGAGCACTACAAGGCCCGCAAGTTTGAGGAGGTCAGTTGGCTGCTGGGTACCCTATGGAGGGGCAATCCCAGAGCCCCTGAGCACCCTGGGTGCCACGGCTATGGGACAGGGAGTGACCTTATGTCCATCCCCTGTCCCACAGGTGCCAGAAGCCAGTGCACCCCCAGCCCCTGCCAGCCCCACGGGCTGTGTGCCAGGAGCCCTGGGGGACCAGAGCCGGGAGAAGCAGTCCACTGACTCAGGCACCTTCTCCCTGGGCCTCTAGCTCTGGGTGCCATGGCGCAGTCCCTGTCTGCATTTGGCCCCATGATCTCTCCAGAGCCCCCCAGTCCTACTCCTTACCCACACTGTCACTTGGATGGAACAGGGGAGGTGTATGGGGTGTGAGTGTAACGTGTTCCCGTGCTTCTATAAGGCCACAGCATGCAAAGCCCCCAGCCCCAAGGTGAGGAGCAGGAATGGGGACAGTGGGGGGACACAGCCCCAAGCTGCTGAGATTGGCATGGGGGTGGGTGAGGACCAGGGGGTAGCTGTGGGAACACCAGGAATGGGTGGCAGTGGGGATGAGCACCAGGGGCCTAGGGGTGACAAAGGGGCCAAGGGCTGGGGGTGAGAGTCAGGAGCGATGGTGGGGGTGCAGGTATGTGAGGGACATAGGGTGGCACAGGGAGCTGGGAGCCATGGAGGCAGCACAGGAGTGGCAGAGAGGAGCAATACCTTCAGGCTCACCTCAGAACCGGCCAAGGGGATGCAGAGAACCTTCACCCCAATAAAGCCTTGGTGTGCAGCCCCATGCCTGTGCCCTCTGTGTGTGTAGTTAATGGGTGGGGGGCTCTAATGGGTGCAGGAGACATGAGGTGATTCGGGATGGGGGAAGCAGTCTCTACCACCACAAGATCCCACTGCAGCCCCCAGAATCTTCCCTTTGCCTCCAAACACATGCTGGAACCACATGTCCCCTATCACTGTGCACTGCCACAGCTCCACTGCAACCCCAAGCCACTAACTGCCATGGGGTGGCCTAAGAGGAACCAGGTACAGTTTGGCAGCTTGTCCAAGGTCACTTCCTCCCTCTGCAGTTTTGGAGCCCATGGCAGCCCATGGCTGGGGCAGCCCTGTGCCTCTTTTTCTATGTCTTGCCATGCCCTGAGCCCACAGGGAGATGTCACTGACATGCACCAGATGCTGCTGTGCCTGGGAATGCAGACCCTCCATGCCCCTAACTTGGGCACGAGACAGCAGCACCCTTGCTGCAATGGCAAATTGGTACTTTGGGCTGTTGGGCAAATCATTGCCCCCTCTAAAGGGGCACAACCACTTTCCTGACCATTCCGTGATGGTCTTGTGCCCCAAGGAGTAGCGGGGTTGTGGGGCAGGGTGGCAGTGCTTGGGGATGGGGTGGCAGGGAACAGGCAGCATTGGAAAGGGGTCATGGTAGGAGATGAGGTGGCTGAATAATGGACAAAGGACCACCCTAAAGGATGATGGCATCTGGGCCCCCTGACCCCTTGTGTACCTCCAGGCCACCCTATGGCAGTTGGTGGCTTGGTCCAGGGCTGGGGTGATGCAAGGCTGCAGGGGACGTGTGACTCCAGCATCCCTATAAGGGCCAAGGCAGGCAGAAGCTCCGAGCCCCAAGGTGAGGAGCAGGGACAGGAACAGGGATGGCACTGGGGACACAGCCCTGTGCTGCTGGGCTGAAGCTGGGGAACAGGGGAAAGACAGCCCTGAATCTGGTATATGCAGTTTTGTGATGCCCTGGGGATGTGGTGGGAGGTGCATGATGGCATGGGTGGCACAGAATCAGATGTTGCCCCAGGAATGGCAAGAGGCTTCAGAGCATGAGGGACATAGGGGTGGCTGAGGGCTGGGGGTGGCAGGAGGGACATGGGGAATGGGTGGCACTGAGGATGATGGGGGTCAGAGACTCAGGAGTGATGGGACTGAGGGCTGGGAGGGAGGGGTAGGGCTGGTGCTGGAGACACCAGAGGAGACAAAGGACATGGGGTAGCATGGGAGACCAGGTGCCATGAGGACCATCAGGGCTGGCCAAGGGCTCTCCTGAGATGATCCCAGGGAACACATGTCCATGGGGCAAGAGATCCTCCAGGCCTGCCATGTCCCCATGGCTCCCCACAATGTAGCCTGGCCTGCTCCTTGTCCTGACCCTGCTGGGCATGGCCTCTGCCCTCTGCTCCAGTGAGTAGCTAAGGGACCACTAGGGACACAATGGGAACAGCTCAAGGACACCCCTGTCCCCAGTCTCAGGGCACTGGGGTTGGTGGGGGGCCAGAGGGGACACTCCAGCCTACCCTCAGCCTCCTGGCACACTGTGGAGGTACCTGCAGGCAGAGAAGAGGTGCTTTGTGGTGGTGAAGGCATTGCGCACCTACAAGCGTGCCCAGCTGAGAGGGATGGGGAGGTCAGCAGGATGCCAGGCTCCCATGGGTGCTGCCAGTGTCATCTGTGCCCTTCAGACCTACTGCCAGGACATATACAAGGGACAGCTGGCCTTGGTGCACATCACAGCCACTAACGAACTGCTGAGGAAGCTGGCAGCCACATACACCTACTGCAACCTCTGGATCAGGGCTGTCACCAGTTGCAAGGTAACAGGACCCAGCAGGCATCCAGGGCTTGGCCAGGGGTGGGTGCAGGATGCTGAGCCCTGCTGCCCACAGGGTGGGTCATGGAAGACATCCTGGGAGGACCTGAGCTCCTGGAACTATGCAAACTGGGCCAGCAGACAGCCCTGCCGATGGTACAGAACCTGCACCGTGTTCAAGCCCAAAGGTAAGCACAGCCCTGCACCAGGGCACAGGCTCTGGTGCTGGGAGCAATGGGTGGGGGGGCATTTAGTGGGGACAGGTACTGGGAGTGTGTCACCAGACATGGGACACTGAGATGGGGCACGGGGACAGGGGACAGGGAGTCTGTGGGTCTCCCTGTGTCCCTGACAATGGGTCCTGTCCATAGATGGGCTCTGGAGAAGTAGAGCCTGCTTCCTGCTGCACTTGTTCCTCTGTCAGCACTGAGAGAGTGCCCGGGGGCCCTGCCATGGCTCCCCAGTGCCCAGGGACTCACAGTGGCCCGTGTCACTGTCCCAGTAAAGTGCCTCACAAACTGCCTTGAGGCCCCATGTCCATGTGTTTTAGGGCTGGGGGGAGACTGGAGGCAGAATGGGGCTCAACCCCACAGCAGATACTGGAGAAGCTCCAAGGGCGTGGGGCACTGGGTGGGAGCAGCACCACAGGCAGAGGCTTTGGAATATTTATTCTATCCCAAGCACACCCACCCCTCAGTGTGCCCCCCGGCACAGTCCCATCCCTCCCCCAAAGTCCAGTAGAAAAAAGCTGGATGGTAGTGCAGGGCTCAATGGGGTGTCTGGGCAGGGGTATCAGCACTTGCGGAAGCCTCCAGGGGGCTTGAGGCAGCCTCCAGATCCTTGGCACGCCGCCGGCATTCACGGGCCACCACCACAGGACTGACGTAGGCCAGCAGCACCACGGCGATGAGCCCCACGTTCATCTGTGGTGGAGTGATGGGTGTTGAGGGCATGGGACCGGGGGCTGATCCCAAACAGACAAGGGGCCAGCTCCTTAGCCCCCTAAAGGCTGCCTGTGCTGAAGTAGCAAACCACACCATGGTACTACAGACTAGCATCTCTCCCCAGCACAGCGTGCCCCCAGGCTACCATAGGGCAGAACCTCCTGCCCTTCGTAGGCCAGCATCCCCACCCAAACTTAGATCAGGCCCTCCATCCCCCCATAGCATAAGCCCCATCCTGCCATGGACTATAGACTCCATCTTCTCATTGTCTGGTGTTTCCAACCTCACGTGGGGGAGGAGCCCCATCCAAACTGGCACTGGGACCTCCTTTCATCCATGGACCCTGACCACCACCCCACCATGGAACTGTCCCCCCTGGGCTATGGGGTATCCATAGGCTGTGGGGAGCACTCACATAGAAAGGGTCCCCCTGGAGCGCTCCATGCACCAGGGCAATGCAGGGATACTGCAGCAGGGCCACCAGCGCCGATAGGGCCATGGCCAGCCCGTAGAGCTTCCCAAAGTGCTGTGGAGGAAACCTGCCAGAACAACCTGCATGTCACCACTGTGCCCATCACCATGCCACCTCCACCCTCACGCCACCACCCCCTCCTTTACCACCATCCCCTGTCACCGCTGTACTGTCCCCCTCCACCTTGACTTCACTATTGCTTTATTTCTCACCCACGTCCCCACTGCTCCCTCCCCTGCCATCACCACTCTGTCCCCTGCCACCACCAACATCAAGGTGCACAGGACTCACGCGATGGCCAGGAAGGCGGCGTTGCCCCCGTAGAGGAAGGAGCGGCTGATCACCTGGAGCACGAATGTGACAAACTGCACAGGCAGGATAGGCACGGCAGCACAGATGGAGAATAGCACGCACTGCGTCACCGTCAACACCAGTGATGGCACGGATGCCCGTAGGTCAGCCAGTGCCCCCTGGGCTCCTGCAGGCATGGCAAGATTAGGGCACAGGGGGGACACGTCCCCAGGTAGAGCGGGAAGAACAGGGAGTGCTACGGTCACATGCATGGGCACGGTGGGGTTGGGGCATCATGGGGGCACTTTGTGGAAACGGTGGGATAAGGACATTGTGGGGACCTGTTCAAGGGGTCAAAGCGTGGTGGGGACATGTTCGTGGATGTGGTGGGATCCAGCCATTGTAGCAGCACATCCATTGGCACAGCGGGGGGTCAGAGCTTTAGGGGGGCACAACTACAGGCATAGCAGGGTCAGAGCATGGTGGTAGCATGTCCCAGGCAGAGCGGGGTTGGGGACATTTGCAGCTCCAGTGCGCCAAGAGAGGGATGGGGGGATAGGGACAGTTACCCTCAGCACGATGGGCCTTGTTCCGCTTGTGGCAGTCGAGAATGAGGCCGTTCCAGGGAGCGCAGAGCACCCCACAGAGCTGGGTGAAGGCGAAGGCGTTGGTGTAGATGCTCACTGTGAAGAGGCAGAGTCAGTGCAGAGGGCCGATTCCCAGCCCCCTACCTGGCTCATTGTGCCCCCCAACCACCATGCCCTACCCAGGTGTTCATTGCCTAAGGCCAGGTGGTCGAGCAGTGGGTTGAGGGTACCAATGAAGAGGTAGTGGCGCAGCTGCATGACTGAGAGCCACACCACGTGCCACATGAAGAGCCATGAGAGCACACAGGGCCAGAAGGGCTCCACAGCTGCATTGCCTGCACAGAACAAATGCATCCATCAGGCTGCCTACGCCCACAACACGTGGCCATGCCTATTTCCCAAATGTCCCCACCACAGTTGACACATCCATCCACTGGGTCTCGTAGTACCAAGAACCCCCACCCAACCCATGGGCCAACAGCTCAGATGACTGTGTACCACCCACATCCCAGCACCCCACTTCCCAGCACCCATCACACGCATGGCCATGCCCACCCATGCCTTTGCCAATAGTCCCAGCCCTAGTTCTCCCCCACCTTTTGGGGCACTGGGTTCCAGGGGCACTTCCTCCGGCCCATCATCCTCCGGCGGGCGCTTCTCCTCATAGGTGCGGTACGACTGGGAGCGCCCCGGGCATGACAGCCTACAGCACCACTCGCCTTGTCAACCACCACAGCATCCCAGTGCCATCACCACCTCCACTCGCAGGATGGGCACCGTGACCACCACAACCCATGGGATGGGCACCATGACCACCACCCACAGGATAGGCACCGTGACCACCACCACCCAAGAGATGGTTGCCATAACCACCACCACCACCCAAGAGATGGGCACCATAACCACCACCACCCAAAAGATGGGCACCATGACCACCACCACCCAAGAGATGGGCACCATGACTACCATCACCACCCACAGGATGGGTGCCATGACCACCACCCAAGAGATGGGAGCCATGACAACCACCACCACCCAAGAGATGGGAGCCATGACCACCACCACCACCCAAGAGATGGGAGTCATGACCACCACCACCACCTGTGGCATGGACCCCATGGCCATCACCCACAGGATGGGCTCCACCACCTCCTAAGGGATGGGTTTTGCCATCCTGGGAGCACAGGCAGGGCAGGGCCTCCCTTACCCATAGTTGTAGGCAGGTGGCAGCGGGTAAGGGATGTGCATGCGGGGCATGAGGAAGATGGTGCGCAGCAGGTGCCAGGCGCTGCAGGCTGCCATGAAGAGAAACATGGTCCGCAGGGACAGTCCGTGCTCATGCAGCACCTGGGGACATGTACAGGTTGCCACTATGCCATGCTGGCCACTGGTCTCTGCACAGGGCCACCACAGATATCAGACCCCAGCTGTGCCACTGTCTGTCCTCAGCCCACCTCAGTGCCTGTGCTGTGAACAGGCAAATCTGGTGCCTGCAGTGTTCCCCACCCCATGCCCACCTTGATAATGAGGAATATGGCAGACGAGGAGTCAAAGGCCCCGTTGTAGAGGGTGATGATGATGGAGCGGTACTTCCCAAAGAGGTTCCCCACCTAGCACACAGAACCCCCCCATAATGCTGTCAGTGTCCCCATCGCCAGGCAGGGTGCCCGAGCTGTGGGGTGAGGGTTCAGACGCCTCCCACCTGCATGTTGGTGAGGATGAGGAGAATGCCGCCCACCGACAGCATTGACATAGCCGGGAAGAGCAGCACTGCTAGGTCTGGGGACACAGGTGTCAGTGGGTTCAAGGGACATGGGTGGGATAGGGGCACCCCACATCTGTGTGGGTCTCACCTGGCGTGGAGAAGGCAACGAGCAGGGTCCCACCAGTGTAGAGGGTGCTGAAACATGGAGACAGTGTTCACAAGGGGGCACAGCATCCCCACCCCTGTGCTCCAACACCCCAGCATCCCACCACTGGCCTCATGTGGCACCACTGAGGTGGAGGAATGTGGGGAAGAGGCTGGCTCTACAGTTGCAGGGGTGCCCTAGGGACATCAGTGGGGAATAAGAGCATCCGGGGGGCTGTAGGCAACGAAGGACACCCTGGGGACATTTGGTGGCACTGGGAAACAAACACTGCTGCCCCCCACCTCCCTCCCCCCCGTGTGAGCAGGGCTCCACCAGTCCCACCCTACTTGGGAGCCCCGATAACCACCCTGCTCCCGATAACGCTCCCCCAGCCCTGCGTCAGCACCCAACTAAAGGGTCCTCCATCCCCAGCACCCACATGTGTCCCTCTGCCACCCCCCACAGCACTCACATGGCGATGAGGCGGGCAACAGCAGTGCCAAAGCGGTCGAAGACGTAGCCCATGGGGAGAGTCATGAAGTTGTTCATGAAGGAGCCGATAGTGAAGACCAAGGAGAACTGCTCATCCTGCCCGCTGCAGTCTGCAAGGCAGCCATCGGTGGGGACAGGAGCACCAGCACAGGGGACACGGGCATGGGGGGAGTGGGGAAAAGGGGCAGCACTGGGGACAGGAAAAGCAGGGAGCCAGTGGGAATAATGGGCACTGGGGCAGTGGGGATACAGGAATGACAGCAGGAACCCGGGGCACCGAAGTGCACCACACAGTAGGAACATGGGAGGCACCCCCAGGACACCAGTAGGAACAGGGCCCCCCCAGGACACCAGGGACAAGGACTCAGCACTGATAGGGATGGTGACACCGGGGCCGTACCGGGATGCAGCGTCCCATTGGGGTTGAGGCTGGCCGAGGACTCGCACCACTGCTTAAAGTAGCCCAGGTTCTTGAGGACGTAGACGAGGGAGGCCCAGCCAAAGATGATGCCGCAGAAAGCACCGCACTCCAGCAGCCCTGAGAGCAGAGTGCCCAGCTTCTTGGCTCGCCCCGCACCCCCCACCATGCTGTCAGGCACGGGGCTCTGCTGCTTCTGCTGGGGACAAGTGGGGAAGTCACAGCCCTCCCTCTCCACACAGTCCCTCATTTTTGCATGTGACCAACCACCTGGACAAAGGCCAACCCGGCCCCTACTCCATCCCTTGTCCCCTGGGCAGCTCCCCCCACTGACACCCACCTGTACCCTGGTGCCACTGCAGCAGCAGAGTTTGAACCCTGGTCTGAATCCCTGTGTGGGGTGCCTGAGGCACACGGCTGCACTGTGCACTTCTGCTGGGATCACTGGGGGGGGAGGGCAGGGCTGCTGGCGCCAGATAGGCAAAGAACTGTTCTCCCTCCCCAGCACCACCTCCTTATCTCCCTGCAGCACTCAGTCGTGGGGACCTGCAACCTCCGTAAGCGTGACCCCCCGGGGCCTGGCACACCGATCTGGGGCATTTCTGAGAATGCTGTGGAGGCACAGCCCTGGGGGTGCTGGCACTGTTGCTAGGACCACAGCACCCGGGGACAATGACACACCCCCAGGGGCCTGATGCACACACCTGTATCCTATGAGGCACCCCTGCATGCACCTTGGGGACAATGGCATATACCTCCTGGCAACAACGACATATCCCCAGGGAACCTCCAACGGTGCCAGGCATGCTGACACCCCCTTTGGGGACATTGGCACCTCCCTGGGAACCCAATCACAGGCCCTGGGTGCAGTGAGACACTGGTGGGGAACCCAGCACATTCCACCAGTGTCAAACAAGGGACCTGCAGCTGGCTGCCACAGGCGCTAAGGTCATGTCCCCATACACCACACTGAAGCCCCAGCACTTGCCACCACCCACACCTGCACCACAGCATCACCATGTCACCAGGTCCTGCTGGTGACACCAGCGGCCCTGCAGCCAGTGTAATGGCTGCTAATGAGGCCTCATTAGTTGGATGGGGGACGGGAGGATGGCTAAAGATTAACCTGGGCAGATGGCAATGGCTCAGCTCCGAGGTCGGGGGGGGGGGGAGGGGGGGGGAAGGTTGCACTATATATAGCTGTCCCAGCAGAGGTTGCGGGCTGGGGGCGCGAGCCGGGGTGGCACAGGAGATCTGTGGCAAAGAGGAATGCTGCCTGCCTGGCACCACCGCTGTGTGCCACCGGTCTCCCCAGGAAGGAGAGGGAGCTTCTGTAGGAGCTGCTGTATGGCTGGGCTGCAGGATGCTGAGCGCACTCCTGCCCCATCCAGTGGACCTGGAGCCCTCCCGGCCCCGTCAGCTTCCGGGGAGGGGTGCGGGTGCCCAGGACTGGGCGAAGACGCAGCCCCATGACGCAGCAGGCGGCCCTGACAGCCCCCGCGACTGGAACTTCCCGCAGCCATGCGGGCGCGCACATGGTGAGGCACGCACGTGGTGGAGGGAGCACACGTAGCCCCCAGGTTCGGCCCCACGCAGTCCCGACACCTCCGCGAGCATCTCACGCTCCGGCCCGAGCCCCTCTGCTTCCACCGCGACCCGCAGTCTTCCTGGATCCCCGGGACCGCCCCGCCCCGCCGCTCAGGGTCGCTGTCGGGCTCGGGGCACCCGCTACCCGGCACGCCCCACCGCCCTCTCGAGCATCCCGGCCGCCGCTCTCCTGGCCCGGCCCGGTTCGGCCCTGCTGGGCGCGGAGCCGCCCGCCCGCATCCGCCGGGAGTGGCATCGCCGCGGCTCCGCCCTTGTTCGGCCCGGCGGGGCGGGGATGCGACCAGCCCGGATGAGGCTGAGCCCCGTGGCCCGGCCCGGCTCGGCTGGTTCCGAGGACTGCACGCTTACCGTCACCTCGGCAGCGCCCGCTCGTCCTTCTAGGCGGGAGGCGGAGCGGAGAGAACCGACTCGGCCTCCGGGGCGTCGGCGGGGGCGGGGCGGGCCAGGAACTGCCGTGGGGTCACCGGGACTACGACCCCCGAACTTGGGGTACATCCTTAGTCGCGTGACCGACCCGCCAGCCCCGTGTCCTTCACTACCCTCCCTCCCATCCATCTGTCCGTCCTCCCCCGGTACCACCGCCCCCACGGCCCCATTCATCCCTTCACCCGTCCATTCATCCCTGCTGGCAGGCGCCGGCCACCCTGCAACCTGCCACTCAGCTGCACAGCCATCCACCCATCCATCTGCCTGCCTCCTGCCCATCTGTCCCATTCCATCCATCCATGCATCCATGCATCCATCCATCCATCCATGCATCCGTCCATCCATCCATCCATCCTTCCATCCTGCTTCTCACCCACCCAACCCTACACCTGCTCAACATCTGCTCATCATTTGGCCTTCACTCTTCACTGCCGCCCTCACCCAACCCATGCCTTCACCCCCACCTCCCCATCCATCATTCCTTTTTTTCCATCCATCCATCTCTCTTCCACCACCCTCCACCACCCTTGCTCCCATCTCATCGCCCATCTCTTTCCACCCGCATCTTGGTGCCATTGCCTTCCTAGGACCTGCCAGGGGCTCAAGGGTCTGTCCCACACCCCCCACACCATACCCCGGGTGGGTGGATGCAAGTAAAGGACCAACGCTGGAGGTGCCCAGCGCCAGAGGCCCCAGCACCTCTGTCACTTTGCCCAGACCCATTGGACCCATAGAATAGGGACAGCTATGGCACAGTGGGACCGAGGAACATCGCGGGGGACAGCGAGCGGATGGCGGCCCCTGAGTCAGCCCCGTGCCGCCCGCAACGCCCACCGCTCCCCGCCAGCGTCTGTCTCTCCAGCTTGTGATATTTCGCTCGCCGGGAGCCGCGCCGGAGACGGCACCGCAAACACGGCGGGTGCCAGATTGTGCCGCCGCAGCCTGGCACGGCCACGCGAGCCTCTCCCCACCCGCGCTCCGTGGGCTCCCCGCGCCGCCGCTCCCTCCGCGGAGACCCCCCGCCCCCCGCCCCGAGCCCAGCACCGCGGACAGCGCCCGCTCCGGCACCGCGGACAGCGTCGCGGTCCCGCGTGGGTGAGGGGCGAGGGGTGCCGCCGCGGCGCCCACTCGCGATCGCCCCTCTGTCCCATCCACGGGCACGAACGCCCCTGCCGAGGTGTCCGCCACCCGCGAGGACACAGCAACCCCGCGAGGGTCCAGACATGCAAGGAGGGCTTCCCCGCAGCTCGCTCCCCCGGGCTCACGGCCCCACGCGCGAGTCCTCGCGTCCCCAGTGGGAGCTGCTAGGAGGTCTCGCGTCCTCTGCGAGACGCTCCGCCGGTCCCTGGGGACGCGCTGCGGGGCGTCCCCGTGGGTAGACCTCGTTCCCACGCATTCCGCAGGAGCGCCGCGATCCTCCGTGGAGTTCCCCCACGCGCGGAGCGGGACGGCCCGGCCCGGCCGAGGAAGGGTTAAGCGGCGGGACCGGCGGCGAGGGGCGGAGCGCGGCCGCCCCGGGATAAGGCGCGGCGCCGGGCAGGGCTCAGCCCCTCCGGGAGCCGCGGGTAGAGCCGAGCCGAGCCCACCCGTGCCATGCCCCGGGGCGGCGGCTGCCGCTCCTCCTCCCGGCGGCGCAGCGGGGGGTAAGGGGCGCGCACCCCCCCCAACCCCGGCACCGGCCATGAGCCGACGTGCAGCGGGCAGCGCCTGAGCGCCCGGCCCGGTCCCGCCATGCGGCCCCCGACGGCTCGGGACCTGCCCCGAGGTAGGCGTGGGGCGGGCCGGGGGCACGGCCCCGAGACCCCCCCGCGGCGGGACGGGGCGGGGCGGGGGTCCCGGCACCCGCGGCGCTGCCTTCGGGACGCAGCGGCTGCCCCGGGGCAGCGCACAGAGCGCTGCGGGGTTAACGGGGAGCGCGGTGCGGGGTGCGCGCTGCCCTCGGGGCGCACAGTGCGGCGCAAAGGGTGCGCGGTGCCACAAAGCCCCGCGGGTGGATGCTCCATAGGGTCGCTGCAGCGGGGCAAAGGGGAAGCGGGGACGGTGCGGGGCGCTGTAGGAGGTGTGGGGGGGGGGGGAGGAGGGGTGGAGCCGGCAGCGGGACCCTGCGAGTGGGGGGGCGGTTGCGCGGGGAGCGGAGCCCGGGAGCCGGTGACTTCAGCTCCGAACTGAGTCAGCCCGCGGCGAGGGGGAGTGACAGATGGGGCGCGGGAGGGGGGCGCCGGGGGGGCGCACGCCGGCACGGGGCGCCGGGGGAGGGGGGCGGCGCCGAGCAGCTGCGCCGGACGCCTCCGTGCGTCCCCCCCCCATCCCCATCCCCGCCGCCGAGCATCGGGGGGGGCCGCCTCCCTCCCTCCGCAGCGGGCCGTGGAGCCCGAGCCAGGCCGGGCTGAATTATGGATGAGGCGCTCGGGTTGCAGCGCAGGGCACTGGGAAGGCGGAGGGGGGGGGGGGGGAAGAGATGAGGAAGAAAGAAGGGGGGGGGGCGGGGGCGCGAACACCCGGAGCGGCGGCGGCGCGTGTCACCGGGGAGCGCGTCAGCCCGCGCCCACGCGCGCACCGCCCCGCACGTGGCCGCGGCACGCGCGCACGTGGCTCCGCCCCGCCCCGCTGTCGGGGACGCGCGTGGGGGGCGCAGCCTTCCCCCTCCCTCCCTTGAGGGGGTCCCATGGGAGTACGGCCCCAGGGGGACACGGGGAGATCACAAGGGGCAAAGCCATGGAAGCTCTTTGGAGTGCAAATCCCCGTGAGGTGCTGGACCCTACGGGGTGGGTAGTGTCATGTGGGGCGTGTGTGGCCCCGGAGGGCTACCGTGGGATCCTGGCCTTATAGGATAGGCATGGCCGTGTTGAATGGTGCATTCCCCTACTGGCTTCTTGCGGGATCTTTGACCTTATGTCGTAGCCCTAGTGGTCCCTAGGAGAGAGTGACTACATGGGATGTATGTGACCCTGTAGAGCTCTTGGAATGCCTGACCTTAAGGGATGGCCATGGCCATGACCATATGGGGTGGACATAGCCCTGTAGAGCTCCCGGAGCTCCTGGCTGCGTGGTATGGGAACAGCCAGGTGGGATGAGGCTGGTTCCGGGGGGGGTTCCTAGAGCCTGGTGGCAGCCAGTACCCCTTGGGGTGCTCTCCATGGGGTTGCTGGGGAGGGCCCTGTGTGGGGCGGTGGGTGCATGGGGCTGGGCCAGGGATGCAGGGGCAATGCCCCAGGTCGAGCCTCGGGCTGACGCCCCGCTGTGCCCGCAGGCGGGCACCTGGCGGCCCTGCTGCTGGCAGCGCTGGCGTGGGTGCCCGGTGGGTCGCCCGCCTGCCCCGCGCTCTGCACCTGCTACGTCTCGCCGCCCACCGTCAGCTGCCAGGCCAACAACTTCTCCTCGGTGCCCGCGGGGCTCCCGCCTGGCGCCCGCCGCCTCTTCCTGCAGAACAACGTCATCAGGGCGCTGCGGGCGGGCACCTTCGGGCCCAGCACTGTCACCCTCTGGCTCTACTCCAACAACATCTCCTCCATCCAGCCGGGCACTTTCCGCCACCTGCCCGCCCTCGAGGAGCTCGACCTGGGTGACAACCCGCACCTCCGTGTCTTGGCACCTGATACCTTCCATGGCCTCCGGCGCCTCCAGGCCCTGCACCTCTACCGGTGCCAGCTGGCCAGCCTGCCCAGCGCCATCTTCCGTGGCCTCCACAGCCTCCAGTACCTCTACCTGCAGGAGAACGGGCTGCTCTACCTCCAGGTCTGACATGGGCTGGACTGGGTCCTCAGACAGCCCTGTGTGGCAGGGCTATGGGGTGTCCCTGGGGAGAATATGGGGGATGCCACTGAGGTGCAGTGGTGGGCAGTGCTTGCAGGCATGGGCGCGGGACACATCTCAGACAGCAACAGTGCAGGGTGGTGGGTGGTATTCAAGGTGCAGAGACACAGGGCAGTGCGGTGGCCATGAGGCAGAGACATGAAAGAAGCTCTGGTTATACCCATGGAAGAGGTGATGCCCATGGGGTGATGCCCATGGGGCAAGGAAAGGATGATACTGTGGAGCAGGACCGTAAGGCAGGGAGATGTATGCTGCCTGTGGAGCAGGGGCATGAGGCAAGGTGGTGATACCTGTCATACAGAAGAGCTCTTGGTGATGATACCCTTGAGGTCAGGATACGGGGCAGGGTGATGGGTGGCACCAGAAAGATGGGGGCATGGCGGAGGACTCTTGGCACTGTCTGTCCAACAGAGCGATGGACAGTGACGGCGTTAGGGCAGAGGTCAGGGTGACATCCATGAGTTACAGAGGTGATACAGGGCGTTAGGTGGCAATATGGAGTTGGGATGGCGATCAAGGTGCTGGGTTATGCCTGCAGGGATGGGATCACCCACCCGGTCCCTCACCTGCTCCCCACAGGACGATCTCTTTGCCGATTTGGCCAACCTGAGCCATCTCTTCCTGCACGGCAACCGGCTGCGAGCTCTGTCCGAGGGCGTTTTCCGTGGGCTGCCCAGCCTGGACCGCCTGCTGCTGCACGCCAACCGCCTGGCCACCGTGCACCGCCGCGCCTTCCACGGCCTGGCCCGCCTCACCATCCTCTACCTGTTCAACAACAGCCTGGTGGCTCTGCCCGGGGACCCGCTGGCTGCGCTGCCCGCCCTGCAGTTCCTCCGCCTCAACGCCAACCCATGGGCCTGCGACTGCCGTGCGCGCCCGCTCTGGGCCTGGTTTCGCCGCACTCGCGTCTCCAGCTCGCCCGTGCCCTGCGCCAGCCCCCCTCACCGCCGTGGCACCGACCTGCGGCAGCTGCGGCCCCGTGACTTCGATGGCTGCCCCGAGGAGGACGAGGAGGAGGACGAAGGCAAAGATGAGGATGACAGCGACGGGGGTGGTGGTGGCGGCGGGGCGGTGGCCGTGGTGGGCACCCCCGGGCGGGCGCTAGGCCGCCCCGGCACCCTGCCTGCCGCACCGCCTTCCGCCTTCTATCGCGACGGGCTGCCGCCTCACGACCTGCGGGGCTCCCAGCCCCGGCCACCCCCTCCATCCCGTGACTCCCGCGGCCCCCCCGGGGACACCCCTGTGGCTGCGGCCCCCCGCCCGGCCCCCACCCTACTGTCCCTGCTGGGCCTGCTCCTACCCCATCTCTGAGCCCCACCGGGGGGCCTCTGGACCCCTCTCAGGTCCTCCCGAGGTGCTCGGGGACAGGAGGTGTCCCCAGGACTCTGCTCCCACCCGTCCCGAGTGAAAAGAACCCACGCAGGCACCGCGCGGTTGGGAATTCTTTATTAAAAATGGTCTTATTTTGGGAGCGTGGGGCCCGGCGGCTGCGGAGCTGGCTTTCCAGGTCACGGCGCTTTTTCCTCGTGAAATATTGATGGCCCCGGCACCGCTGCTGCTGGCTGCAGGGCCCCAGGGCGCACGCACCGCTCGCTGCGGCACCGATGGACGGACACACAGACGTTACACCCGGCAACGCCACCCCGTTGTCACGCCTGCAGCACCTCACACACCCCCTGTTTGCACGACAGGCACACGGTGGGGCGTAATGCGACCCACGAGCTGTGAGGACAGCGAGTGTGCGCACAGCCTGACCCACTTCCAGCCAGCCCCGGGGACGCGCCGGCACAGGCGCACTGCATGTGTACAGATGGATGGACACACAGTGCCCACCCCCAGGCCGGGGTCTCTCTGGGTGTTCCTATTTAGCAACCCTGTGCAGGTCTTCCTTGCCCGGTGTCCCTGCACGCGTGCGTATCTGTATGCGCAGCTCCAGGGTTGCCTCCATCCATGTGTCTCCCCCTACGTGTCCCTGTGTGGGTGTCTCTGTGTGGTCCCTTTCCAGGGGTGGAAAGGGCATTGTCCCTCTCCAGCTGTCCATACCAGATATCCTTATGTGATTGTCCCAGTAACAGTCCCTATAGAGGTGTGGTGTTTTCTCACTGTCCCATCTGCAAGTGTTCCTTTGTGGCCATTTCTCCAGGTATTCCCCAGTGTCCTCCCAGCAAGCTCTCTCTGAGGGGCACAGCCCTGTCCCGACCCCATAAGGGATAAGGAAGGTCCCAGCCTATCTCTGAGGCTGACGTGGGCATGGCAGGCAGCTCAGGGTGCCCCCCTCCAGGAGATGCATATGGCAGCCGGGCCCCATGCAAGGCTGTCCCAGCAGCACACCCAGTGTTAGGGAACACGAGCAGGTTAGTGGGGCAGCCCCTGACACAGCACCACAAATGGGTTTGGGGGGGTCCAGGGAAGCAGACAACTGGCCCAGAGCCTCCAGTTTATTGGTGTGGTGGGAAGGGGGGGGTCTGAAAGGAAGGGCTCAGGCGGTGCCAGTGCCCTGCTGCATGCGCTTGAGGAGCTCCTCATCCTGCAGCGACAGCTCCGTCAGCTTCTTGCCCATCCGCTCGTGGACATCCAGGTACTTGGCCACACAGCGGTCCAGGCACACGCTCTCGCCCTTCGACAGCTCCGCCTCCTTGTAGTGGGGGGGCACGCATTTGAGGTGGCACGCCTGCGTCATCCTGCAGGGCAACACTGTCACACCCCAACAGTTCTGCCCGGCACCCACAGTACCCTCCCCATCCCCAGCATCTGCAAAGCCCCCGCTGCCTCCATCCGCGACACCCCCCCCGCCTCTCGCACTCCCAGAACCTCCCGCCCACGGGCACTCCCCCGGGCCCCGCCCCGGCCCCTCACGCCGCGCACCGGTTGTACATGTCGGCCATCATGTCCACCTCCAGCTCGGCCGCCAGCTGCTGGGCCCGCAGCGGGTCCATGGCGCTCCCGGACCGGGCTCCCGCAGGATGCACGTGTGACGCGCGCTTCCGCCCACACGCTCAGCCGCTCCGCCCCGCCGCCGGTTTCGACCAATAGGACACGGGTGGGGGCGGGACAGCAGCGAGTCCCCGGCGCTGATAGGACCCGGGGGGGGGGGGGGCGGGGTGGCGAGGAGCGCGGCGCAGAGTGGAGCGGCCGCGCGCTTTGGCCGCAATTCGCCCCAAAGGGGTGGGAGCAGAAGCGGCAATGGGCGGGGACAGCCGAGCTGGGGGCACGGCCTGTAGCGGGTCCGGCCCGGCCCCCGCGTGACCTCCGCGTGTCCCCGTGGATCTGCCGGCACGTCTCTGCCCTCGTGTGTCGGTGCCTGCTATGCGTCTGTGTTCCCGTGCCCCTCTGTGTGATCATGTCTCTTATTTTCCCCCAAGTGTCTCCCTTGGATCAGTGTACCTCGTGTTCCTCATGTCACCGTTCTCTACCATATATAAGTGTCCCTCGTGTTCCTTCGTGTCTCACGCGTGTCACCCATCTCCTCCATGTGCCTGTCTCTCGTGTCCCCCCCCTTGCGTCCCTCCATGTCCCCTTGTGCGCTTGTGTTTCTCATATCCCCCCCACCTGTGACGCCTCCAAGTCCCCCTGTGCCCCCATGTGCACGTGTCCCCCCGTGTCCTACGTGTACCCGAGGTCTCACCTTCCCCCATGTCCCTGTGTCCCCCTTGTGCCCGTGCCATCCTGCAGTCCCCCGTCCCCAGGCCCCGCCCGGCCTCCCACGCCCCCCCCCGTCCCCTCCCCTCCCCGCGGTGCCCCCCTCCGGCCCCCGGCCCGCCCCGTCAACGCTGACTGAAGGCGGCACCTGCGGCAGTCACACGGCCGCGGGGCGAGCGGAGCGCGGTGAGCCGGGCTGCGGGGCGCCGGAGGGGTGTGGGGGGCGTCGCGGTTTGGGGATGGGAAACGAGGATAGGACGGGATGGGGGGGAGGGAGGGGGCTCGGAGTTGAGAATAGGGAGCGGGTTGTGGAATTGGGACTGAGCTGGAGAAGCTGGGAGGGGGCAGGAGAGAAATCAGAATGGGGAATGGGTTGGGTTGGGGTGTGCAGGGGGGCAGGAGGGGCTGGGGATGGGACAGGGGAGTGGGGAGTGGCTTGGGGTGAATGGGATGGGCTGAGGGGTGGCAGAGAGGGGTCTGGGATACACAATAGGGATGGGATGGGGACTGGGGGCTGTGTTGGGGTGGCTGGGCTGGGCGGGCAGGAGGAACACTGAGGGGCAGAGGAAGGGCAATGAGATTGCGTGGGGTAGAGGCACGGGATGAAGGCACAGTGGACACCTCAGTGACAGCCCTGCAGCCCACAGTAGGAGCATGGAGTCCCCAGCAAGTGGTGGAGCCCCCGCCCCGAGTGACACAGCCCTGGGTGACGTCGCACAGACATCAACAGGGCCCACAGAGGGGACGGTTGGGGGGGACAGCAGGGAAAGCATGGCACAGGAGGGGCAGGGGGAGGCTAGCAGAGCTGAAGGAGGGGCTGGGGGGGAAGCTGCAGGGGATGTGGGGAGTGAGGGCAAGGGGGAGGCAGCAGAGAATGCTGGGAGTGAGGCTAAGGTAGAAGCAGCGAAGGATTATGGGAGTGATGCTAAGGGGGAGGTAACAGGGAGTGCTGGGAGTGAGGCCAACATAATGGGAGATGCTGGTAGTGAGGCTAAAGAGGAGGATGCAAGGGATGCTGGGAGTGAGGTTAAGGGGGGGGCTGCAAAGGATGCTGGGAGTGAGGCTGAGGAGGCTGCAAAGGATGCTGAGAGCAAAGCTAAGGAGGAGGCTGCAAAGGATGCTGGGAGCAAGGATAAGGAGGTTGCAAAGGATGCTGGGAGTGAGGATAAGGAGGTTGCAAAGGATGCTGGGAGCGAGGCTAAGGGGGAGGCTGCAAAGGATGCTGGGAGCGAAGCTAAGGGGGAGGCTGCAAAGGATGCTGGGAGCGAGGCTAAGGGGGAGGCTGCAAAGGATGCTGGGAGCGAGGTTAAGGGGGAGGCTGCAAAGGATGCTGGGAATGAAGCCAAGGCAGCAGGGGTTTCTGGGAGCGAGGCTGAGATTGCAGAGGATGCTGGCAAGGAGCCCGCAGCAGGGCAGGCTGCTGAGCATGAGGCTGAAGGGCAGGCCAGAGGCAGCGCAGTGCCACAGGAGGAGGCCGAGCCCGGGCCCAGGCCGGAGGCAGCGGGCAGCACCCAAGGCCGGCAGGTGAGAGGGGGCACGACTGGGGTGACACTGCCAGGGGCTGGGTACTGGGTACTGGGTGGCACTGGTGGGGTGGGGGTGGCACCGCTGTGGGTTGAGTGGCACAGTTGGGGCTGGGGGTGGCACAGGGTACGGGTGGGTTGGAGTGTAAAGTGGCGGCAGCGGGATGGATGGCAGCAGTGAGATGATGGTACAGCTGTGCAGCCACCATGTCTGTGTCCACAGGAGCCCACCTGGCTGCAGGATGAGGATGATGAGCTGTGGCCTGAGTTCCCCCCCTGCTCGCCCACGGAGGGGGCCGCCAGCCCCACCACCCCACTCTCCCCTACCTCCCCTGTGTCTCCCACGTTCCCCGTATCTCCCACATCCCCTTCGCCTCCTGTGTCCCCCACATCTCCCACAGGTAAGGGCTACAGTGGGCACAGGAATCCCCTTCCAGGGCAGGGGAGGCAGGAAGGGGAATGGGATGAGGAATGGGGGGCGCGGTGGGCCCTCTCCCAGAGTCCACTTACAGATCCCCATATACTCTGTAGAGTCCCTCTGTTCTCCGTCCCATTTTCCCCATTTGGGACTCCCTGCAGTGCCCCCAGGCACTATGGCTGCCCCAGGGAGGTAGTTTTATTCTGGATGCCCCCTTTCATCCTACTGACTCCTCTGTTCTCCCCTGCAGCTGGTAGCACTGAGGGCTCAGGAGGTAGTGAGAGGTGAGAACAGAAGAGCAACCAGCACTGGGGCTGCCCCATAGCCCTGCCCCGCTGCTGGCATCCCCATACCCTGTTCTCATAGGTGATATCCACAGTGGTGACCCTATCCCTGCTCACAGCCACCACTCCTGTGTTCCCAGTGGTGTGTCTGCAGTGGGGCCACGAGGACGGGTGCCCCCCCGGGTGGCATCTGTGGGGCGGCCACGAGTGAGCAGCCGGGCATATGGACGGAGTGCCATCCTGGAGAAGTTTGGGGGGTGAGTGGGGCCTGGGGAGGTCAGGGTGCGATTAGGACAGTGGGGAGGCCAGGGGACAATGGGAGGCAGTGGAGGAACATGGTCAGTGGGGTGGCTGGAGGGCATGGGGCGCTGGGGGGAATGGGAAAGCCAAGGGACAATGAGAGATATGGGACAGTGGACAGCTGGGGGCATGGGGCAATGGGGGGACATTGAGAGGGAGATGGGACACTGAGGATAGCGCTGCCCAGTGGTGAGCCCCTGGGGAATATGCACCAATGGGATCACTGACTTGGCTACAGGGCAGCCACAGGCCCAGCCCCACACCTGAAGCGTGTGGGGGCCACGGGCTCAGTGAAGGCCATGCTGCTGGAGTGGTGCCGCGCCAGGACACGTGGCTACCAGGTGAGTACTGGGGGACAGGAGGCTGGCAGAGGGCCAGCAGTGTCCTGATCCCTCCCCCTTCCTGCTTATCCACCCACACAGCATGTGGACATCCAGAACTTCTCAGGGAGCTGGAGCAGCGGCCTGGCCTTCTGCGCCCTCATCCACAGCTTCTTCCCCGATGCCTTTGACTATGGCAGCCTGGAGCCCCAGGACCGCCGGCGTAACTTCACCCTGGCCTTCAGCACCGCAGAGTGAGTGTGTTCCTGTCCTCATCCCTATGCCCATGTCCACCTGTGGGGCAGCCCTGGTGATGCCAGTCCTGCAGGGAGCGTGTCGACTGTGCCCAGCTGCTGGAGGTGGAAGACATGCTGCGGCTGACGGTGCCAGACGCCAAGTGCATCTATACCTACGTGCAGGAGCTGTACCGCAGCTTGGTGGCCAAGGGGCTAGTGAAGACCAAGAAGCGCTGAGGCCCTGCCAGCCCCATTCCCCACTTTGTCCCCCAGCCCCTAGAAGTAAAGGTTTGCAGTGCCATGCCGTGGTGCCTCATCTCTCGTGTGGACAGCATCCTGCAGAGGGATCACGGGATTGAAGTGGGAGCTTTATGTACAGGACAAGTGGCACTGAGGTGGGGGCTCAGGGCCCGGAGGTGTGAGGGCGCGGCTCGGCATAGCGACGGGTGTGCTCCTCTGCCTGGTGCAGGAAGGCCTCAGGCCTCTCGCTCAGCTCACGGGCCAGCTCAGGGCGCAGCACCCGCTCGGTGCTGGGGTTGTCGAGCAGCAGCAGCAGGTCCTGCAGCACTGTGGGACATGGGAGGCATCAGCAAGGGTGCTTGCCGTGCCCCCCACCCCAGCCCCTAGCACCCACCATGCGTGGCACAGGTGATGGGCTCCCACTTCTCGGGGGAAGTGAGGGGCTGACACACGGTGCCATCGCAGCCCACGCCGGGGTGATGGATGCTGGTGAGAAGCTTGACACGAGGAGGCACAAGGGGGTGATGTGGGGAGAAGGCCAGCTCGAAACGAAAGGCACCCGCGTTGTAGGGGGGATTGTTCTGCAGCGGCATTGAGAGTGCTTCAGCCTCCAGCTGCCCTACAGGGGCACACCCCCCCTGGCTGCCCTGCCCCATGCCCTCCCCCAGAGTGAGTCCCTCCACGTCCCTGTCCCACCCTGCACGATGCCTCCTAGGGAAGCCCCCCAAGCTTGCCCCAGCAAGGACTCCCTCCATGTCCCCAGGGCACCCCCCACGACCCCTGGGACCTCCCTGTGCCCCTGTACCCTTCCCATCCCCCTTCCCCCAAGGACGCCCCATCGCCCCGTGCCCCAGCCCCCTCGTGCCCACAGGCAGCAGCAGTCCCCTCCAGCGCAGCACGTCACGGTCCACCAAGTGCAGGTCGCGGACGCCGCCCCAGCGCCGCACCTCCTCCAGCTCCTGCGGGCGGGCTCTGGTTAGGGGGCGGGGCCTCAGCGAGGACACGCCTCCAGGCTCAGCCCCGGGGCGGGGCGGTCCGTGGTCCCCTCCAATGGGCTGCGCCAACCACCCGGCCACGCCCCCAAACGGCCGGTCTCACCCTTCGCTACACGCCGCCTCTCCGCGCGGTCCCCGTCGGGGAAACGAAAGCGGAACCGCCGCACAGGGTGCTGCGCGCCCCGCTGTTGGCATCCGTTCCCGTCGCACGGCGCTACCCGTGCACGTGCACGCGCCCCCCGCCCCGAGTACTGCCGCCCCCACCGGGTCTCCGCGCCCCGACCCGCTCACGATCCCGCTGCCCCGGTCCGGCCCCCCAGGCTGGGTGCCGATAGCGGGGTGTCCCCTCCGCTGACCCCGCGCCCCACGCACCATAGCGAGCCGCCTGCTCATGGTCACCGATGTCCGGGGCCCGGTGCCGCCGCTGCTGGGTGGGACGCCCAGGGGCCGCTCCGCTCTTTCTGGGAGGGGCGGGGCGAGAGGCTGCGGCCCCTCCCCGAGGGCAGAGCGGGTGGGGGGGGCAGGTTGGGCGGTGAGAGCCATGGCGATGGGGGGGCAGGTCCTCCAGCGCGGGGCGGGACGCAGGGCTGGGCCGTATGGTGCCGGGAGCCGCGCTTCAGCCGGGGGCCCCCGCCAAGCCTGGCCCCCAGGCACCTTCCGGCTGATTTACGGGAAGCCTCTATGGCCTCCCGCCCTCCTTAATCTTTAACCAGGCAGGCCTGGCTCCGGCCAGTTTCCCCCTGCGGCCGGCCGGACTCTTGGGGAGCGACTAGACGGGCACCAGGTGGGCCCGGGGTGCTGCCCCTCCATCACACGGGGTGGGTGGGGGTGTCGCGCAGGGAGCACCTGGTGCTGAGGATGTGTAGTTTGTGGGTGTGGGGAACGGGATGCTGAGTGCCAAGGGGTGTTGGGAGTGAATGGGGGTTACTGGGTGTCCAGCTGATACTTTGACCAATGCTTGCCCACCAGGTTGCTCACCATGAAGCTCTGCCTGCTGCTGGTGTGCCTGGTGGCCACAGTCACAGCCACTGTCACCCCGGTAAGCGTGGCACGGGGACGTGGACTCCCTGCAGCCAGGTGCCCCCTGCCCACCCTCACCGGTGTCCCCCTGCCCAGGTGTCCATGCCGGATACCACTCCTTCCAGAAGGATGAAGCTAATCAGACTGCAGCCAGCACGCATGGTGATCCTACGTCCCACCACAAGCCCATCAGGGGACACAGGGACACCAACCCAGCCTGTGTCCAGTTCCGCGTGGGAACCCAGCCTGGATGCTGTGTTGGAGGCCTTGCAACCTCTGGGCCCTGCGGAATTTGTGGCAGCACCCAAGGAGCCTGACACTGCTGCTGGCGGGAGCACGACCACATCTGAGCCTGGGACCACCACGGGTCCCCCCAGCAGCCCTCCAGGTGCAGTCACCCCACCGTGCCCTGGGGACGAAGAGCCAAGTGAGACCTGCAGAGCACCAACGAGGGAGCAGAAGGAGGAGGTGGCCAAGGCACTGGGCACTTTTGCCCTACGCTTCTACCAGCACATGGCAGAGTCTGCCAAACCCGACACCAACCTGCTCTTCTCCCCCCTCAACGTGGCCCTAGGGCTGTCACACCTCCTGCTGGGTGAGGGGGTCTCCATGGGGTGCAGCCCATACACCCACAGCCTTCCCGGCTGCCAGGCCCCTCTAAGCCTCACCATTGCCCTCAGGTGCCCGCGGTGAGACCCAGCAGCGCCTGGCTGCCATCCTGGGGTACCGGCCAGGGCTGACCTGCGTGCACGGCGCCCTGCAGCAGCTTGCCAACGTGCCAGGGCTGCTCTCTGCCACAGAGATCTTCCACCACCCAGGTAAGACAGACACTAGCAGGGAGGAACAGTGGGGTGGGCAAGGGGGTGACATCATCCATACTACCATGCAGACCTGCACCTCCGACCCCGCTTCTTGAATGAGTCATGGCAATTCTACAAGGCCAGGCCACGCGAGCTGAGTGGTAACGAGAGCCTGGACTTGCAACGCATCAATGAATGGGTGCACAAGGCCACACGCGGGCTTGTGCCCCATCTGCTGTCTCAGCTGCCTGATGAGCCTCGCCTAGTGCTGCTCAGTGCTGTCCACTTCCAGGGTATGGCACAGCTCCCAGGGTGTATCCAGGATCTGCCCTGAGATCCACCTTGGGAGCCACCTTGGGATCTACCAACCTCCATTTCTCCATCCCCTGGTGGCCCTCAGCCCCACAACACCCCACCCCATGGGCACTGTGTCCCTGCAGCCCGGTGGCAAAAGCCATTCAAGACCAAGCATACGATGCTGCTGCCCTTCATGCGCCATGGGCACCTGCCAGTGGATGTGCTCACCATGACCAGCAAGAAGTACCCTGTGGCATCCTTCACAGACTCCCACCTGCAGGTCCAGGTACTGCGTCCTTGTGCTTGTGGAGCATGATGTCACAGCATGATGTCATTGCTGTGGCATGGAAGGGACGTGTCAGGTGGTGATGTCATCCCTGGAGCACTGATGGGAAGCCAGGCTATGGCATCGCTCCCATGGCACTGAATGAGGACGCCAGGCTATGATGTCACACTGCAGGTGGGGCGGCTGGAGCTTAGTGGGGGGCTGAGCTTGGTGGTACTGGTGCCACGGGGACCTCCAGAGGCCCTGGAGGCTGTGGAGCGAGCGCTGGACCCCCCCACCTTCCTGGCACTGCTGCAGAGGGCAGCCAACACCCCCACGCGCCCTACTACCGTGGCCCTGCCACGCCTGCACCTCGACCTCGCCATGGATGTGGTGGCCAATGTGCATGACATGGGTAAGGCATCCCCCCATCCCTGCCTGTGCTGGAGTGATGTCACCTACTGCACATAAGTTGACAGATGATGACATCACTCCCTGCAGTAAGTCACCTGCACCTTTCCCCTGCAACTTCAGTGCCCCCAGTGACATCAGTGTCCCCCGTGTTTCCGGTGTTTTCGTATACCTGTGTCCATTGATTCTCTGGCAGCCCCAGTGGCTCCAGTATCCTCCATGTCCCCTATATCCCTTTGTATCCCCTGCTGTTTGCCATTCCCCATTTGTTCCTGGTGTCCTTTGGTTTCCCCTTGTTCCCAATGCTCCCACCCCCTGCTGTCTCCATGCCACGGCAATGGCACTGTGTCTGGTTGCTGCAGACTTTGGGCTGTTCCTGGATGCGGAGCTGTGTGGGCTGGCACGGGGCCCGGAGGTGGCAGTGGATGCAGTGCAACACCGGGCTGTGCTGACGCTGGACGAGAAAGGTGTGGAGGCAGCGGGTGCCATGGCCACCTCGGTGGCCCGCACGGCTCTGCAGCTAGAGGCTTTGCAGCCCTTCCTCTTCGTGCTCTGGGATGAAGGCAATGCCATCCCCCTCTTCATGGGACGCCTTAGTGACCCCCAGGCCTGATGCCTGCCCCTTCCTTCACTCCATTTCTTCCCTCCCTCCTCTTGTCCCTATCTGCCTTCTCTTCTTCCTCCTTCCACTTCTCTCTCCCTCTTCCCATTCCTCCCTCCCTGCTTCTGTATATCTTCTCACCCTCTCCTCCTCCCTTCCTTCCCTCTTCACTCCATCTTTCCCTCTTCCAACAACCACTCAGTCACATCTTTTTCTCCTTTCTCCCTCCCACACCTCTGCCCAAATCCTCCCACACCTCCCAAATCCTCTGCCCCCATTGGGTGCTCCTGGCCCCCCAGCAGCTCCTGTGCCTCTGTTTTCTCCATCAGCTCTTGGTCTGAGGCCCCAATAAAAGCTCTGAGTCACTGACTGGCTCCTGTTGGAGGGGGAACACTATTGCTGCTGGTGTGCCAGCTGCTGTCCCCCTGGCATTGCCACCTCCCCCTGGCACTCCAAAGTGACACTTGACACCTTCCTACAAAAATCTTTTATTCCACTAGAAAAGCTGCCCGCAGCCTCTGTGTGCTGGTAACAGGCCCCATGCCCTCACCCCAGCAGGTGGCACAGGCTGGCATGGGGTGCCCTCCCTGGAGAGCAAAGTGGGGAGGGCCCATGTCAGTTGTCCAATGCCAGGTGCCTGCCAGGGTAGGTGCCATTGTGGTGTCCCTCCCATGCTGCTCAATCCCAGCCGTTCTCCTTGACCATGTGCGACATCTCGATGATGAACTTCCCCTCCTTGTACTTCTGGCTGCTCTCGAACGCCTGCTCCTGTGGGGATGGCAGCCTGAGCCCTCTCAGGGCCCAGGTCACAGGACATGTGCTATGGATTTGGGGTCCCAGGGCAACTATTGTGGGTTTGGGGTGCCTGCACAGTGGGCTGCAGCAGGGCTTTGGATAACCAAGTGGGATTTGCGGTGCCGTGGGCTCAGAGTGCCCATATTATGTCTTTGGGATGCCCAGGCCAAGGGATTGGGGTGCCAGTGTGATGCCCAATCCCAGGTTGGGGGTGCCAGGGGCACTCACGTATTTCCAGCCCAGGGTGGTTTTGCAGTTCTCGCAGAAGATGTCAGCCACAGAGTGAAGCCCAGTGAGCAGCAGGCGCTGTTCGGCCGGGCCACAGCCCACATTAACCCTGCACCAGACAGGGTGCTGTGGGCACGTCTGGGGAAGTTCCTTCAACCTTCTCCAAGACAAGTGATAGTGATGATAGCTCACCCCACTCCCCCCTCCCAGCATCCCATCCCCCACCGCAGTACTCACACCGAGTTGAACAGGTAGGCACGGCCATGGCTGCCCTGGAAGGACTGCAGGGACACAGCGTGACTCAACCCAGCGTCCTCTGTGCCTCCCTCACTCCCCTCCTCCATCACCACCATGCCACCGCAGGGAAAGACTTTCTATCATGGGGACACTGTGGGGAGCATGGGCACAGGGGGATACCTGGCACTCTCAGGACACCATGGAGGTGACACTGCAGAGGGGATGCTGTGGAGGAGGAGACAGCATGGGGGGACAGCATAGAGGGGACAACGCAGAAAGGACAGACACAACTACCCTGGGGACACCCTGGGGAGACCCTCACTATTTCCCAGGGACAGCGCAGAGGGGAAGATGGCTACACCAGGGCCCCGGGGAGGTGACGCGGGCGCAGAGGGGGCACCTTGGAGATGAGCTCCTCGTGCCTGGCCAGGTGTGCACGGCAGTGTACGCAGCTGTAGGTGCGGTGGGAGCGCGGTAGGTAGCTGTGAAAGGTCCGGGGAGGCAGACGAGTGGTGGCAGGGACCCGGTGGCGGCGGGCGGGGAGAACGGCCGGTGGCAGGGCCCCGGGGGGCCGCGGGGGTGCGGGGGGCATGGTGCAGCCCCCGCACAGCCGCTCGCAGGGAAAGAAGCAGCGCAGCAGCGTGCTGAGAGCCGTTGTCCCTCCGGGACGGGGGGTGGAGCGCGGCTGCCCAAGGGTCCTCCGGACGAGAAGCGGGCGGTAAGGGGGGGCGGCCTGCGAATGGTTAAGCGGAATGGGGTGAGGAGGGGGCAGCGCCGTGCCTCCCGGCACCGCTGTAGTTCCCCCCCCCCCCCCCCTCCCCTCGCGTCCTTCCGCTCACCGCCAGCCGTTGTCCCCGCTGCCGCTGTCCCCGGTGCCGGTGCCGGTGCGGGGCGGGGGCGCCAGGCGGCCGCGGAGGGGGTGGGGGGGAAGGGAGGGGAGCGCCGCACGCCCGGGGACTGCATCACGGCGCCGTGACTCATTGCTCGACGTCACCGCCCGCACCCCGCGCCGAGACGTCACCGCCCGGCAGCACTACGTCACCGCTGCCCCCGGCACCGAGCTGCGGGCGCTCTATCGGCTCCCGCGCGCTGCCGAGGGACCCCGGGGCGGCTGCAGCGAGGCCGGGGCCGGAGGGGAGCGCAGCTCGCGGCGTGCCCGTGGCACGTAGCGGGGCCGGGGGCAGTGAAAGGGGGAGAGGCCATGGCCACGGTGCCCCAGTAGGTGCTGTGCAGATGAGACGCGGACGAACACCGGGAAGCACGGGGAGCGGCACGCCGCAGCAGGCCCCGACTGCATCTCCCAGCAGGCCCCGCGCGGCTGCCACGGCAACGCCCCACGCGCTCCCGCTGATGGAGCGGGCGTGCGGGCCGCGCTCTGACCTCACCTCCGGCGTTTGCCTGACGTTACTTCCGTCGCGCTCCGTGACGTAACGGAAACGCGACAGCCCTGCCAGAGTCCCGGTAGGCTCGCGGAACGGCTGTAGGTGCTGTCAGGTACTGACGGTTGCCAGGCCCCGGGCTCAGGGTCCAGCCCTACCGCGGTGGGCGGTAGGATCGGGCCGGGCCCGCGATGGCGGACGATGGCGGTGATGAGAAGAAGCAGGTGGCGAAGTTCGAGCTGGAGCGGGAGACAGAGCTGCGTTTCGAAGTGGAGGCCTCGCAGACGGTGCAGATGGAGCTGCTCACCGGCATGGCTGAGGTGTTTGGCACCGAGCTGACCCGCAACAAGAAGTTCACCTTTGACGCTGGTGCAAAGGTGGCCGTCTTCACCTGGCACGGCTGCACCGTGCAGCTCAGTGGGCGCACCGAGGTGGCATATGTCTCCAAGGACACTCCCATGCTGCTCTACCTCAACACTCACACGGCCCTGGAGCAGATGCGGAGGCAGGCAGAGCGCGAGGACGAGCGGGGGCCCCGTGTCATGGTGGTGGGCCCCACCGACGTGGGCAAGTCGACTGTGTGCCGCCTGCTGCTGAATTATGCTGTACGCCTGGGGCGCCGGCCCACCTTTGTGGAGCTGGACGTGGGTCAGGGCTCCGTCTCCATCCCTGGCACCATGGGTGCCCTCTACATCGAGCGGCCGGCTGATGTGGAGGAGGGCTTCTCCCTGCAAGCTCCGCTGGTCTACCACTTTGGCTCCACCACACCTGGCACAAACATCAAGCTTTACAACAAGGTGAGTGCATGGAGTCCCTATCATCTTGTGGTTGGCCCTGCTTGGAGCAGGGTGGAGCCTCCAAGGAGTCCTGCCTGCCCCTGTGAGTTAGGGATTGCCCATCTAGTCCTATTGTTCTATAAAACCATGGTGCAATACTGAGTTAAGCACTGAGGTCCAACAAAAACATGAAGAGTAAAAAGCTGGCCCAAATGCCTCGTGTCCTCTGCCTGCAGTTTGGTGATGGCTAGAAGCCCCTTTTTTGGCTGAAGGTTGCCCTCAGCCCCATGCTTGTCCTTGTCCTGTCTGTGGGACATGGGGGAGTAGCTCTGCTGATGTGGTAAGCAGTCATTCAGTGCTGAAGCTGTCCATAAAGCACGTTAAATGCCCTCATGGACAGCTTCAGCACTGAATGTGGCTGCTGCCCCTTTATGACTATCACTGAGAAGTGGGCAAGGAAGGATTTCAGCTTAAGTGGCTTCCCATGGCCCAGGCATTGTCTCTGCCTCTTAGCACTAAATAAGCCTGCTGAGTGAGTTAGGAGCATTGCCTGTCATTGGACAGGTCCTCATCACATGGCCTCCAGCTGTGTTGATGTCTTTTGGGAACAGAAACATCCCTCTCAACCCCATGTACTTTATCCTCATGTCCCAATATCTGCCTGCAGATCACATCCCGCCTGGCTGATGTCTTCAACCAGCGATGTGAAGTGAACCGCCGTGCATCGGTCAGTGGCTGCGTCATCAACACATGCGGCTGGGTGAAGGGCTCGGGCTACCAGGCTCTGGTGCATGCTGCCTCAGCTTTTGAGGTAGATGTGGTGGTGGTGCTGGACCAGGAGCGGCTCTACAACGAGCTTAAGAGGGACCTGCCCCACTTTGTGCGCACTGTTTTGCTCCCCAAATCTGGAGGGGTGGTGGAGCGCTCCAAGGACTTCCGGCGGGAGTGCCGAGATGACCGCATCAGGGAATATTTCTATGGCTTCCGGGGCTGCTTCTACCCCCACGCCTTTGACGTCAAATTCTCTGATGTTAAGATCTACAAGGTAGGGGCTCCCACCATCCCTGACTCCTGCCTGCCACTGGGCATGTCGCAGGAAGACAACCAGTTGAAGCTGGTGCCGGTGACGCCAGGGCGGGACATGGTGCACCACCTGCTGAGCGTCAGCATGGCCGACAGCCCCGATGACAACATCTCAGAGACCAGCGTGGCTGGCTTCATTGTGGTCACTGGGGTAGACCTGGAACGCCAGGTGTTCACTGTGCTCTCGCCTGCCCCTCGCCCACTTCCAAAGAACTTCCTTCTCATCATGGACATCCGCTTCATGGACCTGAAGTAGCTCCAGCAGGGATGGGGCAGGGAGTCCTGGGCAGAGGGGACACATGGGGATGTCCATGCGTGTAGCCCAGCGCTTGCTTTGCCCAGCAGCTTTCAGGCCCTGGGTCTGTGCCCTTGTGCCAGCGGCACAGGAGGCTGCCTCTCGTTTTTATCTTTTTGTAAAGTCTGTTATTAAATCTCACTGCCCTTTGGCTCCGTGGTGCTTCCTGCTTTTTGTCTCGGCTGCAGGATGGAGGGATTGGCCCCGGGTGCTGACCACCCACCCCCGTGGATGCTGCACAGGAACCCCAGGCCTATCACAGGAAGACCATCGGTCAAAGCGAAGCAGGGCGGAAGACGCTCCTTTTCCTCCGCTCCGCGGACACGCACGGGCTGGGCTGGGCTGGGCTCCTGTCTCGTCCCACGGGTTCGCCCCGCAGCACACAGCGCTCAGACCCCCTCCGGGCGCAGGAAGCGCCGCGCATGCGGTCTGCGGTGCACGTGCGCCCACCCTCCTGATGACGCATGCGCGCGGCCACTTCCCGTTTCACGCATGCGCGCCGCACCCTTCCTCGCTCCTTCCAGGCTGTTCCCCAGACGGCGACCAATGAGGAGCGGCGGGCGGGACGCGCGGCCGACGGGGCGGGGCGCGCAGGCGCAACTCTGACGTCGTGCCCAGCCGCCGAGCGCCGCCGCCGCTTCGTGCCCGGTAGCGTTGGGCGCCGCCCGGGCCGCGCCGTAGCGTGCCGGTGAGTACCGCGGGGCGTCCCCGCTCCCTCTACCGTCGCGCCCGCCTCCTCCCAGGGCTGCTGGCCCTTCCCCGCCCCCGGTAGCCGTAGGGCCCCGGAGCCCCGGCTGCGTTCTGCCCCGGGACCGCCTCCGAGCCCCCGCCCGCCGCCTGGCAGCGCCGCCTCTCCGCGGCGCCCGGAGCCCCGCCGGCCCGCGGCCTCCGCCCCGCCGGTGGTGCGGCATGGCGAGGCGGGATCCGCTTCCTCCTGGGCCCGGGCGCAGCGCCGATCCGGCTCCGCGCGGCGTCTCCGTGAGTTCGCCGCGTCCTTCCGTGCCCGCGGGGCCGCGGAGCGATAGCACGGCCGGGGCAGCGGGCCTTACGGCCCATCCGGTTCCACCCCCTTCATAGGCAGGGACGCTCGGTAGCAGCCCGGTGAGACTGCCCGGGGCCCATCCGGCCCGGCCTGGGGCGCCCCCAGGGATGGGGCAGCCACAGCTCTCTGGGTAGCTGTGCCGGTGCATCACTGCCCTGTGAGTAAAGATTTTCCTCCTTATACTTAATTCAGAGCCCTCCTCTTTTAGTTTAAAACTATTACCGTTCATTCACTCTCTGTCCTTGTGAAAGCCCCTCCCCAGCTTTCCCGTAGCCTTTTTGTGTGCTGGAAAGCCACGGCGAGGTCCCCCAGAGCCTTCTCTTCTCCAGGCTGACTGAGCCCATCTCCTCGTAGCTTTCAGCATCCGTGAGGCTTTCCCTCTGACAGCCCCATGTCCTTCTGGTGCTGGGAGCCCAGAGCTGCTTTGGAGGGTTGGATGGTGCTGCTGGGGAATTTGGGCAGGCACGGAGGCTGGATGGTGGGATAACAGAATGCAGTCATGCTCCTGGATGCTGTGAGGGTGGGCAGGGTTTGTGTTTGAGGAGTGGACACCAGCACAGCAGCAGCCTGCAGCACAGAGCCTTCCTGCAGGCTCTCATCTGAAGCTGGAGCTCTCCTTGTGCTGACTGTACTTCTGAGAACATCTCGTCAACTTCAGTTTTTAAAAGTCTGTGTCAGGGTTTGGTTCTTGTGGCCCGTCAGTGAGCAGAAGTTGAAGGCTGCTCTCTGGGTGCAGAGCCCCGGCCTGTGTGCTGCTGCCTTATCCAGAGTGAAATTCCTCCTCGAAACACACTTCCACACAACGTTCTCCGGTGTTGGTGATGTAATGGGCTGTGCTGGCAGGTGTTCAGCCTGGCTACTGCTAAGCAGCTCCAAATTATCAATGTGAAATGTGTTAATCCTAAGTTATTGCAGCTGAGGATTCTGTTGCATCTCCTTGAGATGAGAGCAAAATCTCACCGTTGTACCCTGCTCGTCTCGCTGGTTTAGGGGGAGAGATTCTGCCTTCCTGGTGTTGCTTGCTGGTGGCTCCCTAGGATGTGATTTCTCCCCAGCTTCCACGTTTTGATCTGCTAGGTATCTGAATTGTGTTGTTTGTGGGATCGTCCTTCCTGCACTGATCTTTTCTAGGCTATAAAACATGACTACAGCCTTGTCTAGATGGAAGTGAGGAGGTTGATCAACTTAGCGGGCTTAATCTAATCATCACCTCCAGCGAGGCGTTGTTCCTTAGCAGAGGACTTTGTTCTCATGGTTCCTGAGGTCAGGCAGGAGGTAACTGGGTGGAGTAAAGGTCTCCAACGGGAGATTTTAGACAAGGCTTTTTGGGGCGTTCACCCTTCTCCTGCTGCACCCCTTGTTTCTTCTGCTCGCTGCTGCCTCTGGGCACTGGTGGTGGGAGGGCTGGGTTTGTGCGTCCAGGAAGGTGCGGACACATTGGATGAGATGCTGTTCTTCCCTGCTTTGTCCGCAAAATGGGGCTAATCCTGTGTAAACCGCTGAGATGGGCAGGGGAGGAACGGGAGCAATGTAAGCAAGGCCAGAGATAAGCACTGAGGGGCGGCCAGCCGTGCTGGCTGCCTGCTCTGATGGTTTTGCTTTCCCTTGCTGCCTGCATCTCAGCAACTGCTGCCTGGGCTGTTGTCTGTGTTTCACGAATACCTCTTGGCTTCTTGCTGTGTGGGGTTTGTGCAGTGAGCTCTGTGCTGAGGGGAGCTGGCTGGGACATGTTTCTCATCCCGTGAATAGAAGGTGCC